AACAATATCTATATACTTGTCCTCCTTACATAACTAAACTGTGTGTTGTATAGATGCTGTGTCACCTGTGTGTTGTATAGATGCTGTGTCACCTGTGTGTTGTATAGATGCTGTGTCACCTGTGTGTTGTATAGATGCTGTGTCACCTGTGTGTTGTATAGATGCTGTGTTCACTGTGTGTTGTATAGATGCTGTGTCACCTGTGTGTTGTATAGATGCTGTGTTAACTGTGTGTTGTATAGATGCTGTGTCACCTGTGTGTTGTATAGATGCTGTGTTAACTGTGTGTTGTATAGATGCTGTGTCACCTGTGTGTTGTATAGATGCTGTGTTAACTGTGTGTTGTATAGATGCTGTGTCACCTGTGTGTTGTATAGATGCTGTGTTAACTGTGTGTTGTATAGATGCTGTGTCACCTGTGTGTTGTATAGATGCTGTGTCACCTGTGTGTTGTATAGATGCTGTGTCACCTGTGTGTTGTATAGATGCTGTGTCACCTGTGTGTTGTATAGATGCTGTGTCTGTGTGTTGTATAGATGCTGTGTCACCTGTGTGTTGTATAGATGCTGTGTCACCTGTGTGTTGTATAGATGCTGTGTCACCTGTGTGTTGTATAGATGCTGTGTCACCTGTGTGTTGTGTAGATGCTGTGTCACCTGAGTGCTGTATACATGCTGTCTTAACTGAGTGTTGTATACATGTTGTCTTAACTGAGTGCTGTATACATGCTGCCTTAACTGAGTGCTGTATACATGCTGTGTCACCCGTAAGCAGATAGATGCCTGTGTGGGCAGGCAGATGTGTCACCTGTGTGTTGTATAGATGTGTTAACTGTGTGTTGTATAGATGTTGTGTGTCACCCACGTGTTGCTAGATGCTGTGTTAACTGCGTGTTGTATAGGATGCTGTGTCACCTGTGTGTTGTGGCAGATGCTGTGTTAACTGTGGGTGCCGGTATAGATGCTGTGTCACCTGTGTGCTGCATACATGCTGTCTTAACGAGCGTTGCATATTACGTCATTTAACTGTGTGTTGTATAGATGCTGTGTCACCTGTGTGTTGTATAGATGCTGTGTCACCTGTGTGTTGTATAGATGCTGTGTCACCTGTGTGTTGTGTAGATGCTGTGTCACCTGAGTGCTGTATACATGCTGTCTTAACTGAGTGTTGTATACATGTTGTCTTAACTGAGTGCTGTATACATGCTGCCTTAACTGAGTGCTGTATACATGCTGTCTTAACTGAGTACTGTATACATGCTGCCTTAACTGAGTGCTGTATACATGTTGTCTTAACTGAGTGCTGTATACATGCTGTCTTAACTGAGTGTTGTATACATGTTGTCTTAACTGAGTGCTGTATACATGCTGTCTTAACTGAGTGTTGTATACATGTTGTCTTAACTGAGTGCTGTATACATGTTGTCTTAACTGAGTGCTGTATACATGTTGTCTTAACTGAGTGCTGTATACATGTTGTCTTAACTGAGTGCTGTATACATGCTGTCTTAACTGAGTGCTGTATACATGCTGTCTTAAGTGAGTGCTGTATACATGTTGTCTTAAGTGAGTGCTGTATACATGCTGTCTTAACTGAGTGCTGTATACATGCTGTCTTAACTGAGTGCTGTATACATGTTGTCTTAACTGAGTGCTGTATACATGTTGTCTTAAGTGAGTGCTGTATACATGTTGTCTAAAGTGAGTGCTGTATACATGTTGTCTTAACTGAGTGCTGTATACATGTTGTCTTAAGTGAGTGCTGTATACATGTTGTCTTAAGTGAGTGCTGTATACATGTTGTCTTAACTGAGTGCTGTATACATGCTGTCTTAAGTGAGTGCTGTATACATGTTGTCTTAACTGAGTGCTGTATACATGTTGTCTTAACTGAGTGCTGTATACATGTTGTCTTAAGTGAGTGCTGTATACATGTTGTCTTAAGTGAGTGCTGTATACATGTTGTCTTAACTGAGTGCTGTATACATGTTGTCTTAACTGAGTGCTGTATACATGTTGTCTTAAGTGAGTGCTGTATACATGCTGTCTTAAGTGAGTGCTGTATACATGTTGTCTTAACTGAGTGCTGTATACATGCTGTCTTAAGTGAGTGCTGTATACATGCTGTCTTAACTGAGTGCTGTATACATGCTGTCTTAACTGAGTGCTGTATACATGCTGTCTTAACTGAGTGCTGTATACATGTTGTCTTAACTGAGTGCTGTATACATGCTGTCTTAAGTGAGTGCTGTATACATGCTGTCTTAACTGAGTGCTGTATACATGTTGTCTTAACTGAGTGCTGTATACATGCTGTCTTAAGTGAGTGCTGTATACATGCTGTCTTAACTGAGTGCTGTATACATGTTGTCTTAACTGAGTGCTGTATACATGTTGTCTTAACTGAGTGCTGTATACATGCTGTCTTAACTGAGTGCTGTATACATGTTGTCTTAACTGAGTGCTGTATACATGTTGTCTTAACTGAGTGCTGTATACATGCTGTCTTAAGTGAGTGCTGTATACATGCTGTCTTAACTGAGTGCTGTATACATGTTGTCTTAACTGAGTGCTGTATACATGTTGTCTTAACTGAGTGCTGTATACATGCTGTCTTAACTGAGTGCTGTATACATGTTGTCTTAACTGAGTGCTGTATACATGCTGTCTTAAGTGAGTGCTGTATACATGCTGTCTTAACTGAGTGCTGTATACATGCTGTGTGTGATTTTGATGATGTATGATGTTTCTTCCATGGTTGACTGAGGCAATATATTTAGTAATCCCACAAGTCTCTACCTGACTTAAACCTCACTGTCTGTGGTGAAGGGAGTACAGAAACCTCAAAGAACAGAGAGAAGAGAAAGGGGGGGGGGTAACCTGAATGATGAAGACAAGTGTAGTGAGTGACAGGGAAAGTGTTGATACAGTATAGGGATTTAGAAATGCTTACTTGTTCATAACCTAAACTTACAGCATACACATTATATACAGGGTAAACAAATAGAGGTATTCACGTGTACTTAGTCATTCATTCCCTCAAGTTAGATGATAAATTACATCCATATTAATTAGCATTGCTTCATGTAAACACACTGGACAAGTTAAGTGTGTGGTATTAGTATTACTTTTAGTCATAGAAACAGTTTAAGTTGGTGATGGTGTCAAGTATGGCAGGTCATTGGGCCCCTAACTTAACCACAAGGATTAGGTTCCAATTGTAATGGTTCTCAATGCTTATGGTTATGATAGGTTGAGGGCTGTTTGGACCAGTCACTTGGATACAGAGCCAGTAAAGAAAAGCAGGTGGAGCCCACTCAACATCTCACAGGCATCAGATACACCGTACTGTACTTGAATCAGAGATAATTATTATGGTGCGAGTTAACAGCAGAAGTCGTGTCAATTTGTATGCCAATACTCCTCGATGGGCTCCCAAGAGATAAGAAAATACCACTTAGGGATGAAATCGGTAAATGTGGATGAGTTTAGAGAGTAGAGAAGCACTTAAATAAAATATTGTGGAAGTACTGTATTATATATGAGATCATCATCCAGCAGTGACCTGATACTGTACTGGCTTAGGATGATGGTGATGATGGCAGCAAAGGTTATGGGGAAGCCATCATCCTGCTCTTGTTCCTACAGATTTAATGAGAGAAACCTCAGTAGATGATTTCATATAAATGCTGCACCATAATACAGACAATTTTATGTGGAAAGACTTCAGCCACTGGTGTGCTGTAGCCAATATTAAATTTGTGAAACGTATGGATATATTTATCATTTTTCACATCTCTGGAAAGAAAACAAGTAGCAGTACAGTACTGTACAGTAATCAGTCATCCATAGATTCTTTGTTCACTGCAATTATATATTATTTAATCCCTTGAGTACTATATGATGACAACCCATTGTGTGTTCTGATTTAATCCCTGCAGTACAGTACAGTGTCGTGAGCCTGTGGATACCGTGACCTGTATTGTTGAATAAGATGATGCGCTGTACGCACTGTTCTCCGGTTATGTCAAACTGAGTAATGATTTACCAAGCTAAGGAATTTATTTTCTAGCTGTCATCTTTTTAAGCAGTCTTCTATTTTTATCAAGCAGAATAAAAATGAGACGTAATTTTGTAACTGGGATTTATATTTTTCAAGGCAAACTTTTTTCTTTTTCTTTTTTTCACTGAACCATCTTATTTAAAGTACTACTGTATAATCTTCTATTTCCCATGCTTTTTCAAATATTTTATTTTATTTTATTTTTACCATGATTGTGACTATACAGTACATACTGTATTGAGAAGTACACTCAAATATTAATTTCCAATTACAGTTTCCCGATCTCATAAAACTTTATGTAATCATTACATTATTTTCCATTATACCGTGCTGGGACAGAACCCCACACTCCCCTTCCGCCTGATTATCCTCTCAAGTCTCCCACTAAAAAATAGTATAAGAAGACTGCTGCTTCCAAGATGAGATCATGTGTACTGGCAGACCAGAAGCCCAGCAAACCCATGTTCACCTATTCTGTAGGTGGTTCCATCTCTTACCTGTGCTGTGGCTCACACCTCACTCCACCAGGGAGCTCCCCTCAGAGATGATAACCAAGATAGAAAAGCCTCCATTCTGCCCTGTTACCACATATCTCCTTTACCACTTCTATTCTCCTTATTCCCACCTGTTTTTTCTCTCACATATTGATCATCTTTTGCCTCCTTGATGTAGGGTGTCACCATCTGTTCTTAATAATAACACGTTGTTGTAGGCTATATTGTACAGTACTGTACAATATACTGTTTCTAACATTAAACATTATGCCTTTTATATTTGTTCTTAATGGAATGGAGATCAAGTGAGCCTTTATATTTTTTCTTAATGGAATGGAGATCAAGTGAGCCTTTTTCATTAAAGATAAAAACAAAGCTTGATATTGTGTGAGACAAAGGTATAATGTAGACTAATACTGTACTTGTTTTCTCTTGCCACGACAGTGTCGCAAGGCGGGTACCACAACCCTACAGACATGCCTATGCAGAACCCCAAAGAGCAGATTGCCATGTGGCAGCAGAACACATACATGAGTGACTCGGGCATCCACTCCGGGGCCACCACAAATGCCCCATCCCTCACTGGCAAGGAGGAGGACATGGATGCTGATTGGATTGAGGGACAACCACAGCCTGGCTTCAACCAAGCAGCCTTCACTACTGAGCAGGTAGCAAATACAGTACACTGTACTTCTTATGTTCACCAAAAATACAGAAAAAGGATTTTTGTGTTTGGTGTCATCTGGGGAGCATATAGTCTCCACTTATGGTAGTCTCTGTGACCAAGTTCTTGTCATTACATGCTCCCTTATTTTAGATCCACTTTATAATTTCTCAACCATAGAAAGAATTTCAATGAAACTTATTTGAATGTAATTTGATAAGGGACTGACCTATACAAAATTCAAGCTATTTTCATGCCTAAGTAAGTATTACTTTGCGGATGTGACCTGCAGTTTGGCTTAGAACAACACTAGTCATACTCTGAAGGTTAAACCTCTAGGTAACTTATGGAAAAACATCAGGATAAGGCTACTGGACTTACCTTAGTAAATACTGTACTGAGTACATCTGCCACGGCTCTCAGTGTATGTCTACAGTGATACTGTATAACACAGTATATCCTTCTCTGGGACAGTACAATCTGTGTGTACAGTATTAAGGATTCATTACAGCAGTTTTTGTGTTTTTAGGTTGACGACATGAACCAGCAGTTGAACCAGACTCGATCCCAGCGAGTAAGGGCTGCCATGTTTCCTGAGACGCTGGATGAGGGCATGGAGATTCCTTCAACCCAGTTTGATCCACAGCAGCCCACAGCTGTTCAGAGGCTGGCAGAGCCTTCCCAGATGCTCAAGCATGCAGTTGTGAACTTGATCAATTACCAGGTTAGTGTATAGTAAACTTGATCAGTTGCCAGATAAATGTACTGTTTAGTAAACTTGATCAGTTACCAGATCATTGTACAGCATGCCCTTACAATTCGCGGGGGTTTGGGTCTCAAAATTGCTGCGAATGCCAAATCCGCAAATATCATTTACTGACTGGGGGGGGGGATATTTTTACTCATGTGCAAAGAAAAGTATATTCCCTTATATGTTTGCCATTTGGGCAATAATTTCTTTTACCTGTACTGTATGTGTGCATGTTTGAAGCCACAATAGACACACACATACACACACACACACAGATACACACACACACACACACAGATACACACACACACACACAGATACACACACACACACACACACACAGATACACACACACACAGATACACACACACAGATACACACACACACACATACACACACACACACAGATACACACACACACACACACACACACACACACACACACACACACACACACACACACACACAGATACACACACACACACAGATACACACACACACAGATACACACACACACACAGATACACACACACACACACACACAGATACACACACACACACACACACACACACACACACACAGATACACACACACACACACACACACACACACACACACACACACACACACAGATACACACACACACACACAGATACACACACACACACACAGATACACACACACACACAGATACACACACACACACACACACACACACACACACACACACACACACACACACACACACACACAGATACACACACACACACACACACACACACACACACACACACACACACACATACATATATAATAATGGGAAAATCCTCTCACAAATAATCAGAAACAAGACAACAAAATGTATTGAAATGTAAAAAAAAAATGCGAGAGTCTACCCTCAAGTCAACTCCATGCTTTGTTATTAAAGTTGGGTTGATTGAGTTGCCATACGATATTTTTTTCCTCATTAAAATTACTATCTCTAGAGCGAATGGAATCTGAGCCCCAGCTGGGTTGATATGTAGATCAAACTTACAGAATTTCTTTCATTCTAACCAACCCAACATGAACAATTTTGGTAATTGTGGTGTAATACTGATTTTTTTTCACAATATGTGTGTAGGATGGTGTGTGCATGTAACTGAGTAAAAATTAATAAACAAAGTTATGTATATTTACCTGAAAATATGAGTTTTAAAACAACCATAACACCTCACAGCCATAGTTTTATTAAAATAATATATACAATACCAGGAAATGTGAGGAATAAATAGGAATAATACCAATAAATAAGTTACAACAAGAAAGGCTATTGCCAAACCAGTAAATAAAAGCCAAATGAAGGTTTAACACAGTCGTCATTTGCATACATATCCCTGCTCCAACAGTAATTAAGATCAGCTGGGACGCTGTTTCCCTAGCAATGCTCCCCACCAGTGCCGGATTAACCATGAGGCACTTGAGGCACTGGCCTCAGGCCCCCCGACTCTAAGGGGCCCCCAAATCCAAACATTCTCGAAGTTGAAGCGTATAAAACATGAACTTCGTTCAACGATGTCCTAGCAACGTCTCAATTTTCTGTCTCTTATGAACATTAAATGTGTTATTTTGTAGAAGCTTAATATTGATGAAATCACTGATAAATTTGGGTATATTTTGTTCTTGTTATTTATATATACCTTGAGGGTAGGGGGCCCCAAGTTGATCTGTACCTCAGGCCCCTATTAAGCTTAATCCAGCCCTGCTCCCCACCAGCTATACTCTGCGCTCTCCTCCTGCTATGTGTTTGCCCTTAGGACAATTATTTCTTTACTTTTTTCACAATACAAGATATATATATTTAGGATGGTATGTGCACGTAACTGAGTAAAAATTAATGAAGAAAGTTACGTACAATATATCTACTGTACTCGAAAATAGGTGTTGAAAAAACCATAACACCTCACAGCTTGCCCCAGGTGGTTACAATGACGAGTTAACCTAGCTACAATGCCATGATTAATCCCTATTAAACACCATTCTATCAATAAACACTAATAATAACAGTAAATCCAGTGAAATATGGCAGTGAGGAGCACTAACTAGCAGTCACTCACTCCCCTTACCCGCTCCCGTTGCCAGGCGTAGCCAGGCATTCGTAATGGGAGAATTACATGACATTCTTTTCTCTCTTCACTCATTTGGGCACCTTCCCAGATCTATGTACAGTAACTAAAACAACTATCTGTGCATACTTTGTGGGAAACAATATGAGACCATGGACGATAATTTTTGGCATATGAGGGCTGTCACTAGTCACACGTAAAATTTCAGAGCATATCAACCCCCACCTGCACAGGTAGTTGTTTTAGCTACTGTACTTATAAGGTTTATCATTTGCCTCCTAGCCTGCCCTGTTCTAGTGTGGTTCCCCTGATATCTTCATGCCTGACAACTTGCACATCCACAGGACGACGCTGACCTAGCCACACGCGCCATCCCCGAGTTGATCAAGTTATTGAACGATGAGGACCAAGTCGTGGTGTCCCAGGCAGCCATGATGGTGCACCGTCTCAGTAAGAAGGAGGCTTCTCGTCACGCAATCATGAACTCGCAGCAGATGGTGGCAGCTCTCGTCCGTGCCCTCTCCAATTCAAATGACTTGGAGACCACCCGAGTGACAGTGGGAGCTCTGCACAACTTGTCTCATCACCGTCAGGGTCTACTGGCAATCTTTAAGTCAGGCGGCATCCCTGCCCTGGTCAAACTTCTCAGGTACGATAAAGTTCATCACTCGTTTGTCACTATAACCTGCCACTTACGTGTAGAGACATATACTGTACCCTGTATGTCTTCAACCAGCCTGAACAACTGGACATGTTTAAGGGTGACTTGAGGAGTTGCAACATCCTGTATGTCATTTTGAGTTTAGGAGAAACTTAAATATTCATTAATGATTATATTAAAACTTGTTTACTGATGCAAATTTAGTTTTGTTGATGCTTATTTGTGCTGAATGATTTTTAGAAAAATTTTCTGACACTATCCTGCAGCTCACCAGTGGAATCTGTACTGTTTTATGCCATCACAACACTGCACAATCTGCTGCTTCACCAAGAAGGTTCAAAAACTGCCGTGCGCATGGCAGGTGGGCTTCAGAAGATGGTTGCCCTCCTCCAGCGTAACAATGTCAAGTTTTTGGCTATTGTTACTGACTGTCTGCAGATTTTGGCATATGGCAATCAAGAATCTAAGCTTATTATCCTAGCCTCTCAGGGACCACAGGAGTTGGTGCGGATCCTACGTTCCTACACATATGAAAAGCTTCTGTGGACCACCTCAAGAGTTCTGAAGGGTAAGAATAGTGCAACAGATTCATATCATTTTATCATTGTACCTTTGGTTCAGAAGACTAAAAAATGAAGTACCTCAATTTATTTTTAGACCCAAGCTAACCAATCTTAGCCGAACCAAATTTCACTAAACCTTACTTAACCAAACCCATACCATATCAAACTGAACCACTAAGTAAACCTACCCTAATCTAATTGAATCTAGCCCAATCAAAATGAGCTAAACTTGTACTGACCTAAACTAAGTCAAACCTAACCTATCCTAACATCATAATGCCAATTTTATTGTGGTTGTGAGTTTCTCTTGAGTCTATCTTAGTACCTGTACTGTTCTTTTCACCTTGTGTACAGTAGTTGCCTTGCATCACTCTTTTCTATTATTTCCCTCATAAGTTTTTTGCACACATTTATCCTGCCCACACAAAAGGAGGAGAGGATTAAGATGATTAAAAAGCTAAATAAAGGTCATAATATTTGAGAAAAAAAATTTAACTTCGATTTTTTCTTTCAACAGTTTTGTCCGTGTGCTCCAGCAACAAACCCGCCATTGTAGAGTCTGGGGGCATGCAGGCCTTGGCCATGCACCTCACACATCAGTCAACTCGCCTCGTACAGAACTGCCTCTGGACACTGCGTAATCTTTCTGATGCTGCAACTAAAGTCGTACGTATTAAACAAATTTGTAAACCAGCACAGAACTGCCTCTGGGCACTTAGTTTATAACCTTTCTGATACTGTACTGCATTTAAAAATGTATATACCGTACTGTGTTTACTGAATGAAAGAGCTTATACAGAACTACCTCTTTGCACTTAATAGCCTTTCTTACACTGCAAATATTAGTCATGTGCACCAACTGTATGAGTGAACTTGTACTGTTAAGAGTTTTATTGTTTCTCAGTTGTTGTTTTTTTTTCAGAGTAAAATAAAAATAAATGATGACATGCTGATGTTGACACTAGACTGTATGAAGCAACAAGAATCAACCAGATTCTTGGGCCTTTTACAATGGAAACACCTTAGTTAACAAAACATATATTACAACACAGAATGAATAGATTACACAGAAGGAAGAGATAGTTTGTAGTTTCTCTTGATTCCTGTCACTTGATGTTACAGCAGAGTTGGAAAAGGATTTGAAAAGTAAAAAAAATCAATGTTTTCATTATGCTGTACATGGAGGTACAGTTATATTAAATGGACAGGAAGGTCTTGAACAATCCCTACTGATTTGTTCTTTGTATATCTGTAGAAGAAAAATATATACTATACCTCTGTGTATTTATCCCCTACTTCTCATACTAAAATAGTGTATGTCTGTAGCAAGGGATTTTAACCAGACTTTGCTTGTAGATATATTACAAGAGAATTATAAATTGGTTTGTTAATCAGAATTTTCTATTATTAGTTTGAGTTATATTGTCTCAGACTTTGTTGTGACCTGGAGGGATTTAACTACCATGGGGTGTAGATATATGACAGCAAGATTACGAATGATTTCTATAATCAATGTTTTCCATAAGTTTTTTGAGTTATGGTCCCAGGGATTGTATTGTAGCCAGATGGGGAATGTGGTCACCAATACTGTATAATAGTAAAGATGTCACTGTACATTCATATTTAACATAACCACTTTTTAATTAGTCTAAATTTTAGATGTTAATTATTAAATACGTAATCATTGCAGGACAGCATGGACCAGCTTTTGCAAAACTTGGTGCACTTGCTACGTGCCAGTGACATCAACGTGGTGACGTGCGCTGCCGGCATCCTCTCTAACTTGACGTGTAACAACCAGAGGAACAAGATAACCGTGTGCCAGGTTGGTGGTGTGGAGGCCCTTGTGGCCACCATCTACAATGCTGGAGAAAGGGAGGAAATTACTGAGCCAGCTGTGAGTAATGCCATCTTGTTTAACTTTCTTTTGTTCACTTTTTTTAAGTTTATACATTTCTTGGTGTAAAGAATATGTTTATACAGCCATAAATACTATTTTGTATGTTACAGTACCCATATACAGTACTGTATACAAAACAGGACTAGTGTGTTGTTTACCAACCAATAGATGCTAATATGTGTTGTAACCACCAGTAAGATACTACTGTGTATGTTGCAACAATAAATACTAGTGTGTATGTTACAATAGCTGTAACACCTAGTGTGTGATTCAGCAGCCATAAGACTAGAGTGTACTCTACAATTGCCTTGAATATTGGTTTGCATAAATTCTATGAAATTTTCTTTGTTTTAAGGTAACAATAATAGATTTACACTACTTACAGCCAGCAGATATACTGTATTTTACAAGTTATCTTACTTTATATGTTGTGTTAACAGGTGTGTGCCCTGCGTCACCTAACTGCACGGCACCCAGAGGCAGAAGTAGCCCAGAATGCGGCTCGTTTAAAGAATGGCATCCCCATCATCGTAAACCTTCTCCACCCACCGTCCCGCTGGCCCTTGGTGAAGGCTGTGATTGGCCTCATCCGTAACCTGGCGCTCTGCCCTGCCAACCATGCACCACTGAGGGAGTCAGGTGCTATTCCTAGGCTGGTGCAGCTACTTATTAGAGCTTTCCAGGACACTCAGAGGGTAAGGCATTATTTGTCAGCCAGTTTTCTCATACTGTACTTTAAATCTAAGAACCTGCAGGGACCATCTTACATAGGTGAACAAGAGTTGCTCAGTTTTTGCTCTTAAAACTAAAAGTTAAGACCTGCTCACCCTGTCCCATAGGTGATAAATATTATCTAAGTACAGTACTGTACTGGTATTATGAAATATTTAAAAAGTCAATTACGCTGTGCCCATAAGTTTTAAATCACCTTTACACACTTTATCTTAAAAATATAGACTGTCTTTACTATATAAACACGTTAGTTTTGACCTTCCAAAAAATGTCCTTTGACTTCAGAAATATGCCTGACCTAATTACCTTGTCTCTCAGCGCTTGGGTCATACCATGGATTTTTTTCATATTTCATATAAAGGTACTACGTGACATGCTGGTTAAAGATCTGGGCTCATTTAATAAAAATTTGAGTAATTAGTGTTAATTAATGACCCTTGAAATAATTAAAGATAGGTACAGTACAGTACTTTGAACCTTAACTTCACAGTTGACCATCTCCGTGCACTTCCCAGGAACCATGTCCAATTTGGGAATGAACTTGTCTTGGGTTGAAAGTGTCTGAGCATTACCAGCTGAACTTTGGCACTCTTGATGTATTTCTATAAAAGATTTCATTTGTAATCTCTAAATAGAACTCCATTGTTTATTATTAGCAAAATTGCCCGGCTACACTCGTATTAGGTATACAGGTAAACCTCGATTTACGATGGGGGTTAAGTTCCTGAACACCCCAACACTGAGGGACTCCAAAGGAAAAACAAGAAACCTTTTACCAGTTCACAGTGACTGAACATAACGTGGCTTGGACATAAGTGAAGCATGGAAGATGTCTTGTACAGTATTATAGTTAATCAATATATTTATAAATCATTTTATAACTTAATAGCAGCAGTCATTTGTGTGGCCCATCACAGCTTATAAGAAACTTGGATAAATGTCTTCCATTTTTATTTAACCTCTGCATGTATTATTTTTTCCTTTCTATTTAGCAACGGTCATCTGTGGCAAGCGGTGGTTCTGGCAGCATTGGGGCATATGCTGATGGGGTGCGCATGGAGGAGATTGTGGAGGGAACGGTCGGTGCCTTACACATTCTGGCGCGTGAGTCACACAACCGTGCCATAATCAGAGGACTCAATGTCATTCCCATCTTTGTACAGGTACAGTATAGGAGAGTTCTGGTTAATGGGGAGATTACTATAGTGAGAGATATGTGTTGTTAACTTGACTCAAGTTCGAGCAATTTGGTTCTAAAGATGTCCGTTCTGGCCTTGGTGTGAAAACACCCTCAGACAGGTGTTCATGTAAGGAATGTTAGTATGTGTTCTGGAATTGGTTACAATGAAGGACATACCCGGGCATATATACCTGGCCCATGATATGACCTGAGTTATTAATTTTTATGTTGATATATCTAGAAGTTGCATGTGATGTACCGTATATACTCGTCTATAACCCCCCCTCGTTTATAGGTCGACCCTGATTTTTTGACCAAGAAATCGTTAATTTATGATATTCTTCGTTTATAGGTCGACCCACGTTTTTGAGGGTAATGGAACAAAAAAACCTTCAGTAAAAACACTCTACGTCCTATAAACTGAGGCTTGCCGTGCCTGAAACACCGAGTGCCGAAGGCAAATTGTTTACCATTTATTATTACGATACTTTACACTGAAACGAGGGTAGTTTCAACAAAAATATTGTATATTCCCATTCAAGTATTTATTCAAGTCAATTGTAATACAACAGTTTTTTAACTAAACCATTCGAAAAGCGATTACGGTAACATCTTTTGAACGAAAGAAAGCGAAAGTCATTGTTTTCGTCACGATTTTATCCCACTTTCCACTGTAATACGTACGTAATTTCAGCAAAAATATTACATTTCCGTGAATGTATTATATCAAGCACAGCATGAATAGAATATCATTGTAATATAACAGTATTTTAACCAAAAACTATTAAAAAACGAGTAACATCTCAAGAACATCGGAAGGTTAGGTAAAATCTTTTGTTTTCGTCATGTATTTTATCCTATTTTACATTGAAATACATCACGTTTCAACAAAACTACTATTTATTTCCGAGAATATATTCATTCAGGCACAGTTTAGGTAAAATATACATGTGATGTAACAGTTTTTTAACTGAAAACGATTCGAAAAACACGTACCCTCTCGCCCTGTTCAAGGAGAGGACTGGGAGAAGCTGTTTGGTGCTGCAGACGATGACAAGGAAAATGATTTGGATGGATTTTAATGAAAATATTCAGAAATATGGTATCATAGTATTTATTCAAGTCAATTAGGATAGAATATTATTGTAATACAACAGTTTTTTAACTGAAAACCATTCGAAAAGCAATTACGGTAACATCTTTTGAACGAAAGAAAGCGAAAGTCATTGTTTTCGTCATGATTTTATCCCACTTTCTACTGTAATATGAACATCATTTCAGCAAAAATATTACATTTCCGTGAATGCATTATATCAAGCACAGTATGAATAGAATACCATTGTAATATAACAGCATTTTAACCAAAAACTATTAAAAAAACGAGTAACTTCTCTTGAACATCGGAAGGTTAGGTAAAATCTTTTGTTTTCATCATGTATTTTATCTTATTTTACATTAAAATACATCACGTTTCAGCAAAACTACTATTTATTTCTGAGAATATATTCATTCAGGCACAATATACATGTGATGTAACAGTTTTTTAACTGAAAACGATTTGAAAAACACGTGTACCGTCTAGCTGATACACAACAGCTGGTGGTGCGTCATGCGTCGTTGTAAACAATAGTAGGTTGAAGTAGATTACCGGGTATTATATTAAGTGTGAAATATCGAAAAGGTTTTTATTACCGGTATTTTTTGTAGATCAATGAGAACTGTGATACCGTATATGATATGATATGATATGACAAGTTAGCACGTTGTAAGGTAATTTAGCCTATTGTAAGTTGGTGAGCTTCATTTGCTGAAGGAACTGCACAACTTTTCATTACTAATTGGTACATATTTTACGTTTCCATTGTTTACTGGCAGTAAATGGTAAATATTTTTCATGTTTGAAGCTAAAAGTTGCTCCTCGCCCTTCCCATCATGCACAGGTTCAACCTAACAAAACTATTATGCATGTATAGGATGACCCCCAATTTTTTGCCTAAAAATTTGGTCTCAAAAACTCGAACTATACACGAGTATATACAGTACTTAAATATTTTGTATGTTTGCAATTACTATTTTCAGATACAGTACAGTAAGTCCTTGCTTAACGTCGTGGTTACGTTCTTGAAAAATGCAACGATAACGGTAACAACGTTAAAGGAATGAGTGGACGAGTTAACAGTCGGAATTTTTTCGTAAGATGGCAGGTCAATGGGTAAAGAAAACGCTTAAATTCACTATGGTAATGATGTTTTTAAGTAAAGTGGGCCAAAAGGTCTCAAAATTAAGGGTTAAATTTGCTAAAAATTCACGTGACTGCAAGAAGCTCTGTGATTGGTTGTGACGTCACTGGTTGGGAGTGCTTCCCAGCAGGAGATGGCCAGCTGTAGTTGTCCAAACTTATCTGCTGGTTGGCTCAGTAAATAAATATTATTAGATTATTAATTGTGCTTTACTGTGTAACAGTAATACTATTTTGAGTATATAAATATTACTCAGCACATTAACTAATTCAATGGCCCATATTGGGGAGTCCCATTTACACCCAACCCTTATCGCTCATATATCCATCCAACCCATGTTTGAAGCTGCTCTTCACGGCACATTTCTTCACTTACTAAATGTCCATGACTTAGACCATAATACAACACCCTTAAAACTTATCTTAACGTGGCATTTGGGTCTGAGGAGGCCACCCTTTCTACTACCTCCGACTGCAGCGATGAGTTTGAAACTGGTGACGTCATTGCAAATGGTGGCCCCGTTTCTAGGGAAATAAACTTATCTCGATTATTATAGCAGGACTTTAATCTTTTTTTTACAAATTATATATACCGTATTACTCTATGGACATGACAGAGTGTATTTCTTGTTTGCCCAGAACCGTCAACTCGTCCATTTTCCCTATAAGAAATAGATAAAATACGCTAGTTACGTTCCCCAGCCTCCCTTTGCCCTATAAAATACATGACATATACATAAATTCAATGGAATTTTTTTATATTATACATCCAAAAAGATAAATGAACTAAATCATTTGGTATTGTACTCACTGATGGGCAAGGTGGAGCGAATGTGTGATAGGTAGTGGAGAGGAGGAGGGTGCCGAGTCACTGAGACCCAGCGGGGGGCTTCCCTTCCTGCTCTGACTGGGGTTCTTCTCCATTTTCGTAGCAAGGCTAATGGTCTTGCATTGATTCTTCACAACACTAGCATCACTAACACTTGATGGGCGCTTGGAAACCATTTCGAATGGTTACAGTACATTATTTGTAGCAAAAACACCTAAGCATGCACATACACTGTGGAAGCCTAACAAAGACTGGGGACGCTGTGACGCTCCGCAAAAGAGCGTATTGCGCCAAGATGAGAGGGTGATGTGCCATACAAAGTATTCCATGTTGGGTGACAACATTATAATAAATCGGTCGGGACGTTGTCGGAATCATAAGTATGTAAAGAGTAGCGATGTTATAACGAAGGAATGTTGTCTGGGACAACGTTAAACGAGGACTTACTGTACATTATATGATACCACATAACTGTACTGTATTTATAAATATTTTTTAGCTTTGAAGATTGTATGTAGTGTTCTTACATGTTCTTACGGATGCTGTATATTCTGTACTATAACTATATGTATGTTTCCAGTTACTGTACAATGACATAGAGAACATTGAACGTGTAGCAGCCGGGGTGCTGTGTGAGCTGGCAGCAGACAAGGAGGGCGCCGAGATGATTGAGCAAGAGGGTGCTACAGCTCCCCTCACTGAGCTCCTCCATTCACGCAATGAAGGTGTTGGTGAGTCCCCTCCTTGTCTTGGTAGTGTGCTTTAAACTCAGATCCTTGTTATTATATTTTTAGTTTAGTTTTGTTCAGTTCTGTCGGTGCATGTGGTCAGTACCGAATGTCCACAAACATTGGGTCAAGTTCCTTGAAAACGTGACTTTGTGAAGCAATGATAAGCAGAGCAATTTTTCTCAAGAATCAATAGAAATAAGGGGGTTAGGTTCTGGGGAAAAGTTTCAACTGACAAAAATCATTCTATACGTATCAGAGACACTATACATTTAAAAAAAAAAAAAAAAAGAGAGAGAGAGAGAGAAGACATTTTACACATCTTGTAGCAACAGGAGTCTCATTGTGGTGGGAGTGAGACCTAGAGCAACACTAATGTCCACCACAGGCTACCAACATCAAAACTCCGCAAGACTCCTTACTTAGTACCCAGACTGATGGATATCTTCATCTTCTTTGGGGTAGACACAGCACTTGGGAACTTTTCTCTCATCTTGGAATACAGGTAGTTCTGCTATAACGCGATAATTTTGTTCTTGTAAAATATCGTGTTATAGAAAATCGCGTAATAGAAATAACAGGGCTTATGGAGAAAATAGGGTTAGGTGCAGATTACTCGAAATCGAAAAAATTTAGTAGTTAGCCTAACACAAAGGATAGCACAGTCTAAATAAATGTTACATTCATATCTAATAATGAAATCATACAGTAAATTTAACACTTTACCTTGAAAAAATATGAATGTAACTTGATGGGGGAGAAGGGTGATTTTGAGGTTGATAACATCGAGCTTCTCTTCAAGTGTTATATCCTTTCTTTTACGATAATCACCGGGAATTCTATCATCAGAACGCTTTTTGGAGGTATTCTTCTTTACCATATTCACAGTTAATACCACAAAATTGGAGAAATAGTAAGCAAAAATCGCGTTATAGCAAACAAGCGTTCGCGTTATACAAATATCGTTCCGAATTCATAAATCGCGTTAGAGCAAATTCGCGTTATCAAAACACGCGTTATAGCAGAACTCACTGTAGTGTGAAGTATAAGTTGAGAAGTAAAAGGAAATCATTTACAATTTCCGGTGAACAACACTTAACTCAATGTAAACAACAATTGTGACCATGAAGATTGAGTAAAATAGTGCAGATACATTTGTTATTTGTTCTCTCCGTGGTTCAGAAAATTCTTTGTGGTCTCAGTGGTCTGGTCCCGAGGGTGTTGGGTTAGAAAGGTTCAACCTGTACTTAAAATTTTCACTCTAAAAAGAACATGCATACAGTGTTCAGATGTGCCTTTTTTCATGTTCTTTCCCAGCTCCACTAAAAAAGTTGTACTCTTTATTATCCTTTTACATATTTCAAGTTTCCTATTGTTGTTTCAGCCACATATGCGGCAGCCGTGCTGTTCCGCATGTCGGAGGATAAACCCCAGGACTACAAGAAGCGGCTGAGCATGGAGCTTACCAATTCCTTGTTCCGTGAGGATGGCTCTATGTGGCAAGGGGACATGGCTGCCATGCCCCCAGACCTCCAAGACTTTATAGCCCCTCCTGAAGGTCACTATGACCCCATGTATGCTCAAGGGCCACCAAGTGTTCACAGTGGCCATGCTGGACCTAACTACCAAGGTAAGTCTTTGGTTTACTGTTAAATAAATAATAATAATAATAATAATAATTAACGGTTTATTAAAAGAGCATAGCAGCCAGAAGGCTGAAATTATAATTGGGGAGTGGGTTTCGATTTACAAATAATATACAAGTAACATAAGTGATATAAATAAGATATGTAACTACTAGATGGGGAAAAGCTCAAACTACAGGGCATTTCAACATAGTGACAGTGCAAGAAGTAGGATTTACTGGGAGTGAATACACTGGCTTATTACAAGTTATTGATAATTTTTACAATGGTTGGGACTGGGCTGTTCTTATAGCGATCAGTTCGTGCACGTATGGGCTGGATGCGGTTGTGGTGTCGAACAGCAATTCTCGGGCTAGGGATCTCAGGTGGTAGTAGGAGCCGGTGGATGGTGCAAAAGCTTCTTACCAAATTTGCAGATGAGGTCGTGGTGATGGTCAGTGAGAGTCGAAAGGGTCAGTGTGTTGAGCACTTCTTGATATGTGGATTAGGAAGGGGAGAGAATAATCTTGCATGCCCTCTTTTGCACTTTTTCTAGGTGTTTACATTGTATGGCATTTAGGGAGGAAGACCAGATAGGGGAGGCATAGGTGAGCTTGGGAAGTATGAATGTTGAGTAAACACTGAGGAGCTCGGGTGCAGGAACTCCAAGGGACTTGAGTCGGCGGAGGAGGTGGAAACGGAAACTGGAGGATTTGACAACTTCACTGACGTGTGGTTTCCAATTTAGTTTGTTGCCTATGGTGACGCCGAGGAGCTTAATGGAATCTACAACCTGGAGTGTGTTGGGACCTAAAGTAATGGAAGGGGGTGGGACAATGTCGGAGGAGAGGTTGATGTGCATTAGGGTGTGACAGTTACCCCAACTTTGTCCTACAATGCTGTTCAAAATTTTGGTGTTGCATATTGACAAAAAAAATACCCACGTGCAATTTTTTGAAGATTCATGCATATTTGAGTGAGCACTAGCAATTTGAAAAATAGCGATTTTGCTTATACGGCACACGCGCCTATATATGAGATTACACAACCATCATAAGGGATATTAACACAAATCATTTGCCTGTCTTAATTAAAAGCTGTTATTACTAACACAAAAAAGTTAATCATTCTTATTCTCTCATGGTACATTAAGGGGTTTTATCATATATTCACAAGGTATTATTTCTCTAGAGCAAGAAACCATGATTTCTGTTCGGAAACAGATGATCGTTTGCACTGATTAGGAATGCGAAGTCTGTCATTTTCAACTACTTGAAGGACTTCTTGAAAGCGCTCCTCATCCCTGGCAACATTAAGAAAGTCATGGTAAAGTTTTACACTATGCTCTGCAGCCTCATTAACGACCTGAAGCTTGTCCACAACCCGTTTCATGTTCAGGTAGTTGTCATGATCCGCCCATTCACTGGCTGGACTGTGGAGAAACTGATAGGGCATGCCTAAAATGGTGAAGAACCGGCTTGAATAAGGCCCAATTAGGTCCACCAGGGCAGTGCCACTTTCTGGGACAGGGGGAAGATATGGCTTTTCATAGCCCCCATGATTGAGCCGCACTCTCTTAGTAACTTCAGTGCCTTCATGGCAAAGAAGGGCCTCCCTCATCTCCTCTTTTGTCCTTTCTTGTACGTGGGACGAGAATAAAGCCAGTGGGGCCAACTCCTCAGTTAGGTACCAAGTGTGTCTACCGAGTGCCACACGTGCTTTGTCAACTATTGTGGCGTCATATGGGGCAAATTCAGCCAAGATTTCGACCAAATTCAAGTCATTCAGTGGCGCACTTGCTGGAACGGGGCAAACAATCCACCATGGGACATAAACAGCGACTGTGAACACAGCAAACCGTTCTAACTTGCTGATTTGACTTTTAGTCACAACCTCGGCTTTGGGAAACTGCTCTTTGATCTGGCCTGACAAAAGAACAATCTTGAGGGTATAGAGCAGTTTAGTCATCCACTTTGCTTTGTGAAGTGCGCCGGGGTAGACCATCGTGAAGTTCACTGGCTCGGATCCTTTAGTTACAAGCAGCAGACAAAGCTCTACCAGCTCCTTGTAGTCGCCACGTGTAAATGGTTGGGCTAGAGATTCACGGAAGAAGTCAGCCATCTCCTGCTGGCGCTCCTCAAACACTCCGGGCATTGCGGGGTAGTAGTATTTCTTTTTTCATTGTACGCCAGTTGAGAGAAATGGGTCTTGAACGTAGAAATGCAATTATTGGGATTATTGTATTTCGTACTAATCAATAATATTGTTTTAGGGGTATTAAGATTGATATGATCGATCATTTGCTTGGTGTTAGTATATCTTATAAGTCTAATAAAAGAAATTCCACTAAATTTGTTCATTACATAATAATATTCCTTGTTATTTTATAAAGCCGACGGCGCTAGCTCAAACATGCACCGATCTCCAAGAAAATTTACAGGGGTGTTTCCTAGATAAATACACAACACTAAAACTTTGAACAGCATTGTAGGACCATTTTTTTATTTTTGGAGGGCAACTGTCACACCCTAATGTGCATAACCATGGTCTTGGTATGGTTGATGGTGAAGTGGTTGTTGGTGGCCCAGTTTTGGAGACTGTTCAATAAATCCTGAAGGGCGATATAGTCGGGAGCAGAATTGTTGACGCTGATCCCAATGGTGGAGTCGTCGACATATTTCCAGCGAGCAGGGGTTACTCTTAGGGCATCATTGATAAGCATAAGGAAGCAGAGTGGTCCCATCTTGGTGCCTTGGGGGACGCCACAGGTGAGTGACTGAAAGGTGGGGACAGCCCCTCAGAAGCGTACAGCTTGGCGTCGGTCACTGAGGACGTCTGTAAGCCATGGTATAAGACTTCTCCGAAGCCCGAGGTCAATAGCTTTGTTGATGATTAAATTGTGGTCGACTAGGTTAAGTGCTTTAGTGAAATCAATGAAGACGACAGCTACAGACGTTTTTCATTTCTCGAGATGGTGGTATATGTAATCGAGAAAGCTGACAAGACAGTGAGTGGTGGAGGAAGTTTTCATATTGCCAAATTGCTGAGGGTCAACGACTCCTGCAATATCAGCATAAGCCCAGTCAAACACAAAACTTTCACAGATTAGGCTGGGTATTGGGGTGAGTGCAATAGGTCGTAGCTGATTTAAGGATTTTGGGCTGGTTGACTTGGGCACTGGTGATATATAAGAGGTCTTCCAGTCAGCTGGGCATCTGGCTTGACTGAGAGAAGCATTGATGATGGAGCATAGGGGTTTAGCAAGCTCCGGGGACAACTCCTTGAAGAGTTTCATTGGTTAGTCAATGGGGGTGGTAGAGCGTTTTAACTTTAGTTTGTCCAGACGTTTTGCTACTTCAAATTCTTCTACTAAGTCAGTGGGAAAGGTGGGCTGGTAGGTAAGCAGGGAGAGTGGTTGTGTCAAGCCGGGGGAGCGTCTGGCATATAGTAGCGAAATGGTTATTTGATTGCTCAGCTGCGTCAACATTAGTGAGATGGCTAAGGAAGGGGAGGGGGGGTGTCTTATTGTTTAGTCCACAGAGTTCTTTAAGCTTACCATACTTGACTGATGTTGGTCTGCTTCAGGTGTTGCAATTTGGTTGGGTAGTGACACTTCTTTGCAGTGCATATTTCGCGGATGACTCGGTTGCGAAGGGACCTGTAGCGGATGTGGTCATTGAGATAAAAGGCTCTGTTTCTCTGTTGAATAAGTCTTTTGATCCGAGGTGTGATCCAGGGCAAGTCAGCTGGGTGAGATCTGACGAACTTCTCGGGGAAGAAGTGGTGGTGAGCTTCCGTGGTGGTGTTGGTATAATTTTTCCATTTGGTTTCCACTGCAGAGTCAGTAATTGGTCTGTAGGTCTTGATGTAGGGTCTCTGTACTTGGGTGGGAGTGGCAACTGGGGACCAGAGCACTGATAAGTGTGTGCTACACCCGATGGGAGGCATTGGTTGAGGTGGTTGGTACTGGTCCGCTAAGTCAGTTAAGATAAGGTCAAGGGTATTTTGACCATGTGTGGGGAAGTTCACAACTTGTGATAGTGACAGCTGGTCCTGGATATCAGTGGTGTCAATTTCATTATAATCCCCACATAATACTAACTTGGCACATGGGTACCTAACTCTGAGGTGGTAATGAGATTGATAAGAGTGTGTCTGGTGGGTGAGCGAGGCGGATGGTATGCCACACAGATTATGATGGAAGCAGTGTGGCTCGGGTGGGCCCGTGGCACAACACGTGCCCATAATGCTTCCACATCTGCTGGGCCTTGAACATCCAGGTGTGACGGGCGTAGGTCATCTTGACAGAAGAGGGCAATACCCCCTCTGCGTCTATGTGAACGAAGGTGATGAAAGAGTTGATATCCCTCAATATGACACGTTTCGGGCACAATTTGCCAAGCCTCACATATGGCAACGACGCTCGCGGCGTAGTGGTGTATGTACAGTGATTGTGTTTGGGGATGAACATCCTGCTGATGGGTGAGACTAGATTGTATGAACAGTGGCTCATTTTAAATAGGACTTGTGAGAGAGTATCCATAAAGTGAGAAATCCATAACCTGAGTCCTCTGTAACCCAGGTAGTGTCTGTACAGGGGTACAGTACTCTACTCCGTTTTGGGAAAAGGTTCTTTTGAATGGGAAAAATAATTTACTTGTAATTCCAAGACCAGCAGGAGACATACTGGAAATTTATAAAATAACAAAATTGGGATACTCTGGTCACATTAGAGATGAGGGAATAATGGTGGAATTATAATACTGTATTTCGGTAAAAATGGACAGTAGCGACTGGGAAGTATAAAATTAAGAGAATTGTAAAATCTGGAAGGATTGATAAAGACATTTGCAGCGGATGACTGGTCACTATCCCTTAAACATGAGGATGGAACTTTGATTAATTCTTGTTGAATTTATTTGAGAGTGAAGGTGAGGTTAAGTTTATGTCTTTATTTTAGGGGGCTATGACCATGTACCTGTGGACTCGATGCAAGGATTGGATATTGGCTCTCAGCATGGGGGTCCGGGATCAAACTATGGTCCTATAGACCCTAGGGATCTACCGCCGGGTCATCCTGGCCATCCAGACTTGACCTTCGATCAGCAAATGCCACCACAGCCTCCTCGTGACAACAATCAGATGGCAGCTTGGTATGACACTGACCTGTAAGCTGTCATCTGCCACACTATATAGTGTGTTTTAAGCTATCATCAGCCACAATGTATAATGTTTTTAAGTGTATCTAAAGTAAAGAAAAACGGGGAAAGGAAAACCCATGATCATAGGAGTCAAATGGTCATGTGACTTCAGGCTGACACACTAACTCCAAGTCATTCAATTATGCCAGTGTTGACTAACCTGCAGGATAGGTAACCCAAGAGATTTTGGACTGTATGAAAAAAAAGAAAAAGAACATTAATATGAAAAATGAAGCTGTGCTGACGAAAATTAATAAGAATTCTTCGGCTGTTGATAAAATGTAAACTCAATATGTGCTTCTCCAGTTTCTTGGAGCATAATATATGTGTAATGAGTAACTTCAAAAAGAAGAAAAAGAAAACAGCTGGGATTTTTCAATTTCAGTTGGCTCATTTGGTTTAAATTCCAAGTTTCAGTTTCCTCTGTCAACTTGTAGGAAAGTACTGGTACTGAACTTACTGAATTCCCTTCCATTTTTTTTAACTATTTAAACTTGTGATCAAATGCATGCAAGGAGGGGCCCTTCCAATAATTTTGTATTTATGTCTCAGGTGCTGCAGCAGCTTTTTGGCTTTTTTGTTAGTTTGAGTCTAGACAAGTGCACAGTAGCGACGTGTTGTGCACTTGTGGTGAAGTACGTACAGTACATAGCTGTTTAATGGACATACCGTTGTTGTCTCAATATTATGCATTTACTTGTTCTTTGTTTATGGTTTGTTAGTCTAGTGGTAATACTTTGTAAATGACTTCAGGATATTGTGTTCAAAATTTTTCTTTGTTATATAAGTATTGAAATTGTATTATAGCACAAATTGTTGTTCAGAATAGCCAGTGACCTTCAGATATGTATATTGATTCAGTTTATTTAAACAATATGCAGATAAGGATGAAATGCATACATTCTTTACTAATTTATGAAAATTGAATAGTGAGTGATTGAAGCATCAAATAGTTGTAAGATTTGGTCAGTGTTGGTTCTTTATGAGCTCACGGTGGATTTTTTTTCCTGAAATGCGTAACAACTCGATGGTATCAGTCCACTGTAATATTTTTTACCACTTTTCTCTAGTTAGCTTTGCTGTAAGAAACTGTTCTTAAATACACTGTAGATTTCACATGTAGAATATGAACTGTGTAAAAGTTCTCTTAGCTTTTCTTGCTGTAAAGGACAATCACCCATGAGCAAAGTTGTAACAGTGATTATTATGTGTTGTTTACACACATGTTTTTCAGTACCATTTAGATTTTTTGTAGATAATGTATTCATTTATTAATTTACAAATCATCATCCTGCTCATCCCAAGGAGTGATCGAGTGTATCCAAAGCTTCGCAGTTCATATGGCTCTCTGAACACTTTCTTTTATATATATCAGAGTGTTCTGTCATCCATATGGCATCATTTTATTTCCACTTGTTAAGAGGATGGTGATTTTTTTATTATATACTACTTGAAGAATGTAAATCAAAGGTAACTGCCCATTGTAATAAAATGAAGAGATTAATTGTTCAGATTCTATACAAGTGTTTTGGTAAAGTCTCTATTTCAACCAACCAACATAAGAATTACAGGCATTAGCGAGATACTTATTGCCCCGGAACAACTAATCCCTACACGTTCATTTTTGTGGGACTTTTTTCTCGTATCGTTGACGTTGCCTCCCATGACAGTCTTCATTTAGTGGCATGTATTCTCTTAACTATAGTGATGATGAACAATGTAATTAGTCAGGGATCATTACTTGTATGTTTACATTATCAGTATTCACTACTGAGTAAGCTGGTAGACTTAGTATGATTCCTGTCTACATTAGTTTTCTTTTTATCTCTAGTTCAAGATTATATTTGCACCTTTCCTCCCATATTTTGGTTTACAATGTGCCACAGTATTAAAATAATAAGTGATTTGCAAGTGAATGAAGTCATAAAACGTTCACATCTGCCTTCTTTATTCACAACTTCACATCATGGAGTATACACACTGTGTACTTGGGTTAAGACCTAACACACACAAAAAATCGCCATCAACACCAGCGGCTCATGTACACACTGTGTTCACTCGATGAAATTTTGTCATTCATGATTTATTTAGTTTACATCATTTCTAGGAAACATTGGCTAACAACAACAGCCTTCATATAAATACAGTTGGATAATGTGTTGGATTTTTTTTTTTTTTTACAACATTTTGAAGGTTGTGGTTGTTTTCCAGTGATTCCTCCAATGTATCCTGTCAAACACCGCATTTGTTAGTTTTGTAGTCTATGTATCAATTCATCAGATTATCCAGTGTAAGTGAAGTGAGAAATAGAATGTTTTTTTACAGATAAAGAATTTTATTTTTCTCAATTTATTTCCTTAGGGGTACAGTAATGCTGTACAGTAATGCTGTACAGTTGCCTCCACATGAATGAACGTACCACAGTCTGAGAATGTATGAAAGCACAGGTACGAGACATGGCAACGCAGTGACGTAGTCATAGGCGGAAAACGTGGATTACACTGTTTGCCAGTTCCCTGTATTTCAGTCTAGTCACTCAGTTGTGGCTACACATCGCAGATGTTGATGAAATGTATCGGAATGGTCTGGAAGATATTTTAAAGTCATTTTTATATAAAGTGCAATATAATAAAGGTAAGCATTCTGCTCTATCTGTTGCCAACTAGTGGTCAGACAACAAGTGTTCTCATGATTTACTTGGTTGTAAAAAGTGTATTTGTAAACTAACACCTGAGAGCAAATTAATTTACCTTATTTACCTAATACCAAAGGAAGGAGGCCAGTGGCCTGTGTAGGTTCCCTCCATTGCTGTTGGATAATTTTGTTTCATATGCAGTACAACACTATCATCTTGGCAGTGGTATGATACAGTACACAGCTGTCACAGTGAAATAAGGAACACAGTTTGATGATTGTAGAAAATATTTAATTACAGTTTGGAAATTTATATCCAGTAGTCTGTATCAAATGTTTATAAAGTTATAATTAATTATTATGATTCCCACTACACTGTCCCATGAAGTGAGGTGTTGTACTTTGTATTTCCCCGGTCATTAGAGTCCTCTCAAATAAGTACAGTAAATAATTAATCCATTTGCAATATGGAAGGAGTAGGTAGGGAAACATTTTTGTATTACTTGATTTAGGTTACCAGAGCTGATGCAACAATCTGAACACTGATAATTCCTGGTCACTCCACCTAAACTGTGTGAACCAAATTTAAATATTGTCATCATTTTGCCTGAACGCAGCCCTGGACTTACAGGCCACCACCAAACAGGTCATAAATTATAATTTTGTATTCCTGGACCTATAATTCTACTGACATTTTAAGCATAGTTGGTATGAAATAAAAGATGGTGTAGAAGTACTGTAACAGCTTGGGTATAGCTTACTGTAGGTTAATTTGGGCGTAAAATACTCTACAGTTGAACAGAGGATAAAACACGATCACTTACCACCGTACAAGCCATCAAATTAAGATATTATAATTTATCATTATATAAGATATATTGCAGTTCCTTGGTTGGTATATTGTTCAACACATCACCCACAGTTCATAATGAGATGCATATTCATTAATATTGGGTGATTTATGTCTGCCATGCACTTGAATGTGTGGGGGTGCAGTGTAGTGCTGTTGCAGAGATAGAAGTGCTGAACTACAAAGCAATTATTGATATGCTGTCAGCTTTGTTATTTATATATTTCAATTGTCACAAACACTTTAAAGCATAAAGATTGTCTATACTAATGAGAGCATGTTTTTAAGGCTGATTTAAAACTTAGACACAACATAATTGATGTTTTAAATATTCTGTATGTATAAAATTATTTCAAAGCTCATTACAGTAAACCCTTGTACTCAAGGTTGCCAGATGTGTGACAAACTTAATGGCTATCTGGATTTCGGTTGGTCCGGACAACGTCTGGATGTGGCAAATTCCTATCCGGTCTCTCTGAATTTGAATGGCGTGTTTACTCCCCCGCTGCTAAAATGGGCCCAGTCCGCATCTCTCGCCACTTGTCACAGCACTCGTCCCTCTTCAGTTCGCTTGTAGTCTGTGTGCACGCACCATCGTGCGACCTCTCGACCACACCCCTTTTGTTGTTATTTGTGTATTTCGTGCCGTGTGACTGTTTTTGTGCCCTGTGACTGTTGTGTAGTGATGGCACCCAAAAGCTGGAGTTGTTACAGAAGTTAGAGAGTGGTTGGTCTGTAGCGAATATGGCATTGCTAAGCAAACTGTGTCTGATATATGAAAGGCTAAGGGTTCCCTGCAGTCATTTCCAATGAAATGTACAATCGGCCACAAGAATAAGTACAGCTGCTCCTCGACTTACGACCACCCGGACATACGACCGCCCGTCGTACCAAATTTTTGTCAAATTACGTATTTTCGAGTCCTGGCGTCAGTGATTGCGCCGCGTACTGAAAATTTTTTAGTTTGTAATTCCCTTTAAAATGGCTGGCATGCTTAAAAGTGAGAGTTTTGTGGTGCTGAGAACAAAAAGAGACACCCATTTTAGATTTTCTATGTACAGTAGAAGTCCAAAAACCCGGACTGCTTGGGGATTGGGTCGGTCCCGATTTTCGGATTTTCCGGATTTTCAGGCAGTACTTTTAAAATTCAAATTTAAGTTGAAATAAAGAAGAGATGAACAGGTACATCTTGATAGTTTATTCATTAGCAAATATGGCATGCTTCATTTATCAAAACGAGCAGTTTTAAAGAAAAGGCTGTGAATTCTAGAATTTTATTCTTTGCCTTTTTTATATAAATTGTAGACTTTCCAATGTTGTATGTTTCCATTAGAACAGTATTGCTCACACCAATTTCTAGTTTCTTAATTATTTCAAGTTTGTCACTCAATTTCAACGTGTTCTTCTTTCTCTTCACACAACGAAGTTTATCTACTTTAGGAGCCATTATTATGGGCTTGTACAGTACTCTGTAAATGGAAAGAGTAGGACTCAAAATTACATATGTTGTCACAGTTTGATTGCTCGTTTTAAAGTGGTGACCGCGTGGTCGCTTGTTGTCGCTGTGCAGCTGTGGTGCTCACGCATGCTCACACACACACAAAAGCCCGCTAAATTTATATATATTCATATACTGTATATATATATATAAATAAAAAAAAAATAGTTTTCGAATAGTCTGGGTGGTCCGGATTTTTGGACTTACAACCTGGATTTGGGTCCCTAACCCCATTGTAAGTCAAGGAGTGGCTGTATACACCTACGGTTCGTGTTTGAGACAAAATATCTGGTAACACTGTCCTGAACAGAACAGACAAAAATTGCAGGAGAGCACCTAACCAAACCCAAGTGTGTTAACAGGAATGGACTATTCCAAGGTAAACACAAGGACTGGAAGACTCCTTGAGTTAACATTTCCTCTACACAAGGGGTTCTCAACCAGGGGGGAATTTCCCCCCTCAGGTTTTCAGGGGGGGGGAAACTGATACTAATATGGAAAAAATAAAGGATTTTCAGTATTATATGCATATTATTTGGAATGCACTTTTTGAGGCAGACAATCTTGGAAAGGAGGGGGGAATGACATTCTGACATATGGTGAAAGGGGTGCATGGGGCAAACAAGGTTGAGAACCACTGGTCTACACATTTGTCAACTACTGCTCTTTCTGAGTGAGGAAGTTGGTATGCCGGTATGTAGATTGGGTTAATACCTGGTTGTAAGTTTATGTGATGCTGGACAAGGTGTGTCTGACCCAAGAGCCGAGTATGGTATGTACAGTCTCCTTCACTCGTGCGTTTACAGGGGATCGTCAGGTTTTTTGCAGTGTAGCTGCCCTGCGTTTGTTTACATTCAACAGAAGAAAACTCGCAATTGTAAACATACTATGAAATCTAAGTAAAACAAATCTCTCAATGTATTGATTTGTGGAATGTTTATATGAAGATTGAAGAGCCCTGTAAAAGTACTTGTGAAGGGGGAATGTACAAGAACAATAGGTGTACAGTATTGCTGCATATGTGCAGAAATTGCAGTACAGTGGTCCCTCGATTAATGAACGGTTCAATTAACGAAATTTTGGTTTACAAATTAGCTCCCCTAAGGCTTTTCAGTTACGACCTAAATTTTGGTTAACGAAAGCCTTAGGAGGAAAACACTTTGTTGTGTGCATCAACCTATCAGCTAGTCCGCCAATACAGTAATCGGTTCTATGTTTACATTCGTTTCCAGTGGAGTAAATATCAAGAAAGTTGTGTTCTTGAATATTTTTAATTTTTTTATATTAAAATTATTGGTCATTCTAAAATTTAGCCATCCAAGCTCTGTCTACAACGTCTTTCAACTAATATTTTTGGCTCAATATATGTAACTTCATTTATTTTTTACTCATTTACATGCACACACTGGCCTAAGGGCAAAACTGTAATGTACATGTACTCAAAATAAAGTACAAAATGATTACTAAGATTTTTGTCTAATGCAAACTATAGCATGTTTATATTCAAATTAATCTCTATCTTATAAGAATTCCAGCAATGTACATTATATTCTCCCCTGTTACTTCTATGACATTTTATAAGCAAAAAACAAACTCAATCTAAAGGACACAAATAAACAAATAAATACTTCACAAGACCTTGGCGCCAACTGTCAAACATGTCACGGTCACCTCCCTTTCCTCCCCCCCCCCCTACCAGCCAGGGTTTGGTGGTTTTAGGCTTACAGTTTTTATCTTATATAATAACACAGACTAAAGTTAGAATATAATTTGCATTGCTGGAATCCTTGCAAGACGGTGAATATTGAATATAAACGTCATATTTTGCACAAGATGAAAATTAATCACCTGTATCACATTACAGTAGTGATTTAAGAGTACAGTATTACCTTCGGCCCACGTAAAGTGAAACTGCGGTTTCTCATTAACGCAACATTGCCAGAACCGGACTTTCACTGATCGTATATATATATATATATATATATATATATATATCATATATATATATATATATATATATATATATACATATATATATATATATATATATAATCAACGACTCACGCTTACTGGTGACTAGGGAACGCTTACCGGCTAGGCCACAAGGACACAAAAAGCAGTTCTAGACTCCGTTATATTTCACACAAAGCCCGTTCATCGAGCTGATGGCGCCGTGAACCTCATTGGGAAACTGCCCGTGCCCCTTATGTGGTGTCAGTAGTATTTTACCGAATCCAGCTGGTATGAAACGCGAGGTACATATATATATACTTCATTTTTAGTCCATATAACACGCGGACTTTGAACATATTCCTTGCTGGTGAGGTTGTTCATTATATGTTCAAAGTCCGCGTGTACTCTATGGCTTTGTCTCAAAAATATTCGAGTATACTCGACACATAGTACCGTATATCTCGGCCTATAAGACAGAATTTGAACCTTAAAAAAAAACGGCCCAAAATTAGGGGTCGTCTCAAGTAAAGGGTATAAAATTCTTACCTCTTAAATATTGTGGTTTAGCATGTCAAGAGTGGTGATGGAGAACATCGTATACCACTCACAAAGTCCTACCACTAATTATTTTATACTGAAACTTACGTTTGGGAAGCCGGATTAAAAATAAGATTACCGGTATATTAAAATAATGAAAATGTATTATAAACCTGCCTAACATACCGTAAAAGAGCAATATACCCCGTTAATAAACACAGCTATCATCACGCACCCCCCACCATTTGGTAGTGAAGAGACAAGAAAGGGAAAGTGACCATCTGTAAGTGGGGTGAGGTAAGGCTATTTTTAGCCGTCTTTGTGTCCGAGGTGGTCAGTAATGCATATCGGTATACTTACTGATCATAATACTTATCTCCTATAAATAATTCATTTAAAATTAATTTTTTTACAAAGAATATTCAGTAAATGACTGCGTTAATTCTTGAAACTACCGACAGTGGTAAATTTAGGATGAGAATGATGAAGACGAAGTCAGGTCATCTGATTCGGAGTTTGATCCTTAATGATCACCATAAATGTATCAGGTCAACTTCACCTACCAGGTATAATGGTAGCCTCCCTTTGTCGCGAAACAAATTTATAAATTAAAGAAAATACTTGCAGTGTGTTTAATATATTACAGTATATTATAAATAAATAAATAAATAAACAAATATCGGTAAATGCATTTCAAGTAAATGGAAAAATTTTACTCGACACCGACATTAGTTCCAGTTAAATAACAAGACGATTGAGTGACGTCACTAGTGTTTACACTACACCAGCCGGTAACATTTGATGTGTAAACAGCACTGGTCAATGGGATGGTTGGTAAAGGACTACTGGGTCAGTAAACTCCCAATGGTAAGGGTCACATTTAGGGTAGTTTTATACAGCAAATAGAGCTCAAAACCTACTTTTTAAATATACATTTTTAGGGTCGTCTTATACACCCCATCGCCTTGTAGGCTGAGATATACGGTATGCAATGAAACGCTTATTATAAAACTGCACCTTTTGCCTCTTCAATGGTTAAGGAACAAAAGATGTACATTCATATTTATTTCATATTAATCATCTGATGTGTGACTAGACGTAACTTTATTATATTTATCACAAAAGTAAAAACTAATAATTCTGTAGAGTACAGTACATACTACTGTATTATGTAAGACAATCACGCCACCTCTTATAAATATTTGACGTAAGATATCACCAAGAACAGCCTTTGGAACTTGGCAATATACAGTACAATATTACAAGCAAGCATTTACTGCCATATTTAAAATACAGCAGTTGTTTTAAACTTAGATATTTCAATAATTAGAGTTTTTAAGCACCATTTACAGGGTTGGTTTACTTTTGACAACATAGAACATCCAAAACAGTGTACCTATGTATTGATTTATTCAAGCAGACAACTGTGGTAGCGTATTTCTCAACCAACTTAAGAACACTACAGTGAAAAGTACCGGTAAACCTAGAAAAAAAGACATAATACTGTACAGTCAGGGTCAAAAGTTCACTCCCTTCCAAAATGAAGCAGCATCGACCCCGTGGGGGTGCGAACTTTTGTCCCCAACTGTACCTGGCATACAGTAAAAACACATAGTATAAAAAATAAAGGTTGTGTACATCTACAGTATACTATATCATTAACACATTCACATTCTTGAGTATTTGGTCAGGTTATCTTCTTTTATGAGCCATCACATCTCTGCTGTCACTAACATTCTGTATTTTCCTACACAATAGGGTGAAAACCTCCTGAATAATAAGGAATTGTCTAAATAGGGGTTCAAAACAGCAATGATGAGTTCCTCATATATTCATGAGCAACATAATACAACTAATTTACTGAACCATAAATGCAATTTCAATGAAATCAATGACCTATAGTACAGTATTTCCACCGTAACCTGGTCCATAAGCCACGTCCCTCGTCTATAGCTACAAATAGCCGATTGGTTCCGCTGAGCATTTTACCTCCCTTGGACTGTGCGTATATAAGCCAGTAGGGGTATTTATATCGACCTTTTATAATAAATATTTCCAATTTTCTAACATCCTCTCTGAAGTGCTAATGCCTTGATAGTCCTGATATTTAACATTATTTTAGATAATAACAAGTCTGCTTACCAAATGTGAACACATTTAGTTTGAATTTTCTATGAACCAATCAGTTATTAGTACAGAAGAGGGTCCAAGTTAGCGTGGTATCTGGTATTTTCTTAGTGTATACATTATCAATAAATCTAAATATTTGTTTTTATATTTGTATAAATGTATGTGAATGCATGCATGTATATTTTTCCACAGTATCTATTTGTTTTCTGGATTTCAGACACAAGAGAGAAACTTCTGCAATATCTCCTTTATGTAACCTGAGATGTTTAAACACTTATCCCAGTGACAAACTCTCTTCATCACTCTCTCCATTTATTCACATACCCCAGTCTCTATATTTTACTTTACTGACCATTCCCTTAATAACACTGATACTTTATATAATCTTCTCAATCCTAACATATAGCACAACCAATTCTTACAAATTCTGTACAGTATTTGCTAATCTACTGTAAAAATATTAATATTTCATAACACAGAACACTGTAACTGACTTGGAGAAAGTTAACCCAAGAACAATAAACACGAGTTTAATATTTCACCACTAAAAGTACTTGTAATAAATTTAACTAATTGTCCAACCAATTCTGACACAAGTTTTCATAATATTTTACTCTGTTATTCATTGTTTTGTTATAACTTACAATAAATATTAATGATATTTTTGTTAAGTGTAAATCCTGAGTTATAACGACACCTCACCTTATGACCCATCAACTACGCTCCACGCACCTTTTGTTTACTCTTGTAATCATTATATAATATTCATACACGCTATTACCTATTTTTCAAGAATTTTACAAGTGAACATTTTCAAACATAGTTTTCACCCATTAAGAAACCCTATTAAAGTAAACTGAGAAAGACAAAAGGCTGTGACATTCTTTAAGGTAAGCAAATGTGGGCAGAACTTAGTAACCAGGAAAGTTGCAAGTAATGCCATGACTTTTGAACACTCATACAGTGGTCCCTCGGTTAACGAGCACAATCCGTTCCAGCAGGTTGCTCGTTAACCGAAACCATTGTTTCAATGTGTTTTTGGGTAATTGGTTCCAGCTCACCGAAAATTGCCTAAATTCAACAAAAAAAGGTAGAAAAGTACACTTACTTTGAGGTGTGTATGTAGAAGGCTCCTGGATGATGATGGGAATTAGAATGGGGGTGGAGGAGAAGGAAGAAGAGAAGGCTTTGGGGTGGAAGAGAAGTCACCCCATGGCACCATTTCACCCATATAATTTTAGTTCTCTTGGTGTAATTCAAGATTATTTTCTTTAAATCAACACTGCACTGCATTATATATTGTCAATATGTAAAATAAATTTCAAAATTACCAATAATTTGCTTGGAAACACAGAAAAAAAGCATTTAGTTGAAGAGAGTCTCAAGCAAAATGTTACCTCCACTGAAAACAGAGACTAACGCCTGTCTGGTGTGTTAACAGGCTGGATGGCACGCCAGAAACTAGTTTCTTTACCTTCAATTATGTTCAATAATTGTTAAAATGACTAAAAATGTTAATATTAAACTTTTAAAATTATTGAATAGTATAAACTCCTTGATATTTACTAAAATAGTAAGGAATTTAAGCCCTAAAACCAATTACTGTATTGGCGGACTAATACTACAGCTGGTGGACCGCCAAATGCAAGCGAAAACATGTTGAAGTCGGCTCGTAAAAAACTTGTTAATCGAGGGATTGCTCGTTAACCGAAGTTAAGAATCTTATGGAATGTAAATCGTTAACCGAAATCTCGTTAACCGAGGCGCTCGTTAACCGAGGGATCACTGTATATATCAATCTTATAATTTTTTGGCTAAACTTACATAGCACAGAAAAGAACACGTGAACCTAAACATAACACGACACAGTACAGTCATATACCATAAAATATTTTATTATTCAATAAAATATATAAATTTATTTACACACAGTTGAACTTATTAATAATACAGGTTGACAACCCTTTATCCGAAATTCCGAAAACCGAAAAAAAAAATTTGTGGGGCATTTTTTTTTTTTTTTTTTTAAAACAGGGATTAGCCCACTAGGGCATAGATCACTGACCCACATCGGAGCCTGGGGGCAAAAATGTAATAGTAATAATAATTATAATAATAATAATTATTCATAGTAAATAAAAATTTTATTAAAAATACACCAAAATAAAATAATAATGATAACAATAATAATAATAATAATAATAATAATAATAATAATAATAATAACAATAATACTGTAATAATAAAATAATAATAATAAAGAAATCCAAGAATGAAAAAAGATCAAAAGTGAGAAACACGACCTAGACCTATGAATTATTATTATTATAATTTGTATTCTATTCCCCCCCCCACCCCCAATGTGGTGTCAGTGACTTGTGCCCGGATGGGCTAAAAAAAAAAACTAACCATTCTGAAAACCAAAAAATTCCAAAATCCAAAATGTCTCTGGCCCCAAGGTTTTCGGATAAGGTTTTGTCAACCTGTATATATTTATCTTCATATACATAATTCAGGATTGGCCAATTTAATCAACTTTTTTTTAATCTTTGCCTTTTTTCTTGGTTTCATTAAGTTTTTTGTTGGTTTTTATTACTTACAGATGGTTTTAATGTTTTATAGGAGAACTGGAAAAGGCATATGATAGGGTGCACAGAACAGCATCGTGGGAGGCATTACACGTGTATGGGTTGGGAGAAATGATGACCATTACTGGCAACAGGTAGTGTAATGGTCAGCATACTCACCTCTCAAGTGAATGGTCCTAGGTTTGAACTAGGGCAGGGTGAAACTATGGGCAATTTCTTTATGCCGTTTGCCTCTGTCGACCTAGCAGTAATTGGGGACCTGGATGTTAATCAATTTGCGGATTGTGTTCCGGGGTAATGGTTAGCTAGTGCAGATGGGGAGTTGTCTGGTCTTCTTGAACTATTCCTTGACTTTGGGCCATGCAACTCATTAACTTATGGTGTGGTTGTTGTGTTGGCAACAGTTTCTTCACCTTAAACAAATTCACGCCAAAGTGGCCCTAGGGCTGACCATCCTCATACACGAAAAGCAACCATGTTAATACAAAGGAATGGGATAAAATAAGTGCTGTTCTCGTCAAGATTAATCAAACTAAGCTGAATAACAGTGCTCATATGTCTAACATCAATTGATGTACAATATATAAAAACATAAATTTACTATTTAGGAGAGTACAGGTATATGTAAATCACAGGTAAATTTAATATATCACTAAGAACACTCTGGTAGTAGTCTAAGTACAATGCCAGAAGTGAATTTATATTCATCCAGTTACAACTAATATAATGTATCCTTTTCATAAATAAAATTCCTATATCTATACAATATCTGCCATGTACAGCAGTTAAAATAATATAAATTTCTTTTAAAAAGTTAAAAAATTTCTCTGCTTATTTTTTGTAATACAATATTCCCCCAAGGCTCGCGGTTTTAAAGCTTGCGTCCCTCGAAAACTCGCGGATTCCCATGGAAAATAAGTAAAATATATTTGAAGCTGAGAGGCGGTGCTCAGGGCGAGCGTCAGCTGTTGGAGTGAGCTTGCGGCCACAAGGTGGCGCACATGATTCCCCACACCTAGCATTGTTTGCAGTATGCTCTCCTCCCAGTGATGTTCACTTACTGGCTTCTTTGCAGCATTGTGTTTCACCATGCCTCCTAAACACCCTGCAAGTGATTCTAGCATTGAAACCTCATTTAAGAAGAGGGAAATGAAAGTGATGACATAGAGAAGATGAAGATGTTAGACAAGTTGCAAGAAAGGATGACGAGGGTGAGGGGCAGTGAACATCATCACCAAGCATCATCATCTTCATCAGCATCATCATAACCATCATTCACCTTACCTATGGCAAGGGGAGAGTTGCCAGGGATCAAGAGGAGTCAACACTACAATACAGTAAGTGTTATTTCATGTTTATGTTTAGTTATTTATGTTATTTCATGTTTATTATATTGTCTTATGCATATAAAATGTTGTTATACACGTGTACATGTGTGTATAGCTATTTATATGTATTTTGCACACTCCTGGGACGACATGAAAAAATCGTTGATTTTGCTTTCTCACAGGATCCATTTTACCTAACCTCTGCAAGCTTTAAGGGAATGCTGTACTGTATTAAGCTGCCAAATAACTACAGTTCACCTCAATGTACAGTACACAGTGGTTACATCCTTAAAGAACACCATGCAAGTAGAAACCAGGTAAAAAAAATACAAAGGGTCTATAGGAAACTGAGTTAGGGTTCAAGGCTCACAAGATGACCTCCCTCATTCACTCATCCAATAAGTTAATATAAATGCAACAAAATGATACATTAAACAACTTTTATGATACAGTATTTAAATTTGCTTCTAACCTTTAATAATAAATTTTTTTGATAACAAAATAACATAATTTTTTTAAATGTGGAGATTTACCTCAAATAAAGCCTTTTAGACTTTTTTAACAAAACAAAAAGATCTCAAACAAAAAATAGGAAAACCTCAGAAATTATGTTAAATGTCAAACCTAGAGCTCTAGCAATATACACTACTTGTTCCCCCTCTTCAGAATACCTTAACACATCTAAAGTAACATCTTTCCTCCTCACTAAGCTCGGTGCAGTAGGATTCACATGATGAGTGTGTGGGTCACTCGTGGAGCACTCCTCAGGCTCACATATCACTTCACAGTCAGAATGACAGAACTTCAGAGTACAAAGTGAACTTTAGTGACGTCCTCTGAATGTAAGGTAATAAAGCAACACTGATGTTGACCAATAAACATTGAAATCCATTACCTTAAACACATGTAACCAAGAAGAAACAATGCCTGGACTGTACTTCACCAGACGGCGGCGTTCGGGTAGATGACTCAGCTGACAAATGAAGTGTGATAGGTTTCATTTGGCGAGTTGGTGGAATGACGAATATCATTAATGCGAGTCTGTTTACACCACAAATAAGGAAATGGTCATAATATATCAGCATTGTTAAAGCGAATTATCGTAAATAGAGGTTTACCTGTACTTAACTCTTGGCATCCCCACCCAAGACTCCAGTTTCCCATATTGCCTCACTTCTCACACCACAGACATCTTACAGTTTGTAAGTAGTGTCCCTTTTTCCTATTTTCTTTTTATACCTTAATTTTTATAAAAGATGTTTCTCACAATGCAGTAATTATTGTTTTCAAATATTTTTTTTGATAGTCTTAGCAATTTATACATGCAAGTACTTCATAAGGGATTTCCACGATCTGTAACTTATATTGATAACCAAACTTGTGACTGATTTACTGTAATACCTAAGACTAGTACCGGTAATTGGTGACCTGTAACGGAGACTGATACATGAACCTATACTGATGGCCACACCTGCAGCTGATACTGATACCAATCTTTAACACGGTCTAATGGGTTCTTGGTCCTGGTGAGACCCTGGACAGCCTCTTTGATCTTCATCTCATTCTTACGTAGGTATAGTTTTGTGTCCTCCATCATTATTGACAGGCGCTCTTCTCCAATCTCATCCAGGCCAATTTCGTCGCTGAGATACGGGTTGAATCTATAATACACTTTGCCGGGTAGCAAGTCATGCATGGTGGTGTGGACCCCTGGTGACACAAGAGAAATTCAGTCAGTAATCTAATAATGCTTATCTTTCAAGGGCATTAAAATCTTATAAAGCACAAATTACAGAACTTGTGTATGTAAAATGTAGCAAGAAGAAATGAAAGAAACATTTAATCTAAGAAACTTTTCCTCATGGCTATTAGGCCAGTTCTGAATCTCTAAACAACCCACTATTTAGAGTAACATATTCTATAAAGTTGGGATGAATATCAGTGAAACTAACCTTCAGTATCAGTAGCACTGTTGAGAACCGTTCTAATGCGTGTAGCCCAGCTGATGGATGCCTCACTGGTACTGGCAATGGGTTCATGTCTTCCAGTACCCACTGATACCACACATTGGAGCTCAACATCTGGCCATAACTGCTTGGCCTCATGAACAGCAATTGCAGTTGGGTTGTTTACAAATAATCCACCATCCTAAAATTATAAAAAAATAACCAATTACAAAAAAAAAAGGAGGAATACCCTGTATGTACAGTAAAAAGAATTTAAGTAGTGTACCTGTAAAATATTTTAGGATAACAACATGAGACACCTGATATATTATAATATCATGGGTTCTAGCACTGCAGTAGGTCTTAAATCAGATCCTCAAAATTTACCTCTATATTCTAAAACATGGGAAGAAACATCTGCTAAAACCATCAACAAGAAAATGATGAACAAAAGGCTAATCATTACAAATAACATTGCCACTTACCAATAATATCAGGTCTCCTATCCTGAACTCAGAAAAGTAACCGGGAGCTGCAGCAGAGGCTCTCACAGCTTCCCAGATTAGAGGTAATGATGTTCCCTGGTAGTGACTAGTAACTCGGTAAGGAAGATTGTAATTACGGAAGAGGTACGCCTGGATTCTGTTTGTGTTGGCTGATGTAGCGACGAGGCATAGCTGAAAATATAACAATTAATTAGCATTGTACACATAAAACAAGCAGTAACAGAGATTAATAAGAAATTGTCTTTATACTTTTGAACATTGTACATCTCCCTCTCATTTCTTTCACCTTATTTCTGTTAATTTCCTTATGGCTTCTGCTGCTGCGTCCGGGCACCAGACACACACACTACACTACTGAGGCATCCATACACCTTTCCCAGATAAAACTTTCAAACTGGATGCAAGAATACTACTACCTGTACTGTGCTGTACTGTTTTTTTTTTTCCCAGCATTCCCACCATGGTCCCAATGATGCACGGTGACTATTTTGGGCATTACGTCTTAATGAATTATGGAGAAATTTTAATAGTGAAACCTGTACAGATGGAAGGATGACAATGGCCACTCACTCAACCGAAAAACTACTTTCCAAAAGTAGTGTACAGTACTGTAATTTATTTTTTTTAAATATTTGAACATTTTAAATACGAAATTGAAGAATTCAGTACAAAAAATTTTTATTTTATTTAATTTTCCTTGTGTTACATGCAAATAAATGAGAAGAAATTGGACAATCAGGCAACTGGCTCAGTGACTGTGTGTGGTAGTGTGAGACATTGAAAGCTTATTTGTTGACTTTATTAGATTGAGAATAATGGAGAAAGTTAGTGTATAGTACCATATAGGTATCTGTAGAAACTAACAATACAGTACAGGTGTATCAAAATTGACACAAGTACAGTACAGTACTGTACTATGGTTTATTGCATAAACAGTATGCTTTCCTTGGACACATGTTCATGATAGTGTCCACTTTATGAAATACAGTATCCATTTTATGGAAGCTTCTAGGTTCCAAATTTTTCGGTTGCAGATTCTATACGACATGAAATTCATTCATATCCTACCTTGGGACCATCTGCATCTCGTGCTGTTTCAATGAGGGACTTAGCACCCATGTGCTCTTTCAGTATCTCCGTCCAAGAATTAGAGTCGTAGTAGGAGTTCCTCATGAACAGACTGGTGGCTCCTTTAAAAGTTGTCTGAGTGAAGATCTGTGTACTCAGTTCCCTATACATTGTCTCACACTCATCTAATGAAAATCGATGTACACCTGAAAGTAAAGATCTTTCATCACTATACCAACAGAGTAGTACTGTACTGTACCTTGAGAATGAAAGCTAATCACATAAATTATTCACTCTTAATTCTATGTAACATGGAAAATGACCCATAAATCATAAATTCTCATGATATCAGATTAACCGTATCTTATTTAGAAGGTTTCAGTTTTTGTTGGAATAAAGGTAAAACAAAACAATAAAATAAAGTGTGTTCAATTCAGTGAGAGGAAAAATATATATTACTTTAACACTTTGTTTTCTCAAAGTTGGTCACAACAAAGTAATCAGTTTAAATCTCTGACCAGTAACAGAAGAAACACATATGTACCAGTATTTACAGTAAAGCCTCTTTAATTTATAATGTACCTGTACTAATATGTGCGACTCATTGCAAAATAAAGAAATTTCTGAATTATGAACAACCATATACAGTGGTCCCTCGGTTAATGAACGGTTCGATTAACGAAATTTCGGTTAACGAATTACCTCCCATAAGGATCTTCAATTCGGTTAACGAACAAAACTTCGATTAACGAAATCCTTACGACAAACACGTTTTGTTGTGCACATCAGCTGATCGGCTAGTCCGCCAATACAGTAATCGGTTCTATGTTTACATTCGTTTCCAGTGGAGTAAATATCAAGAAGGTTGTGCTCTTTAATATTTTTGCATTTTTTATATTAAAATTATTAGTCATTTGAAAATTTAGTTAACATATTCATAATATATGCAGTACAAAGAACTAGTTTTTGTGCGTCCATCAGCCGCTTGACTCACCCACCAAAACGTCAGTTTAACTTTGTTTACAGTGGAGGAAACATCGTGTTTGTCGCTCTCTTGAATACAGAGTATTTTTACATTTTTACATTAAAATTATTGGTCATTCTGAAATTTTAGTAACATATTGATAATATATAGCACAGTGCAGTGTTGATTTAAATAAAATAATCTTTAATTACAGCTAGTGAACTTAAAATTTTATTGGTGAAATTACTGCATCAAGCATGGGTCCAAAGAAAGGCGGTTTCTCCTCCATCCCCACTTCCTTCTCTTCTCCTTTCTTCTCTTCCACCCCCACTTCTAATTCCCATCATCATCAACCAGCAACATTCTACATACACACCTCAAAGTAAGTGTACTTTACTGCATTTTGTTTATACTCTGTATGTACTTTTCTGTGAGTTGGAACCAATTACCAAATATCCCATTGAAATAATGGATTCGGTTAACAAACGACTCTGTGGAACAAATTGTGTTCTTTAACCGAGGGACCACTGTACTGTAAACTGCTACCAACAAAGTCAATGATGATTATCTGTATTTTTTTAAATTGTTTGTGTACAGGTTGACAAGCCATTACAGGTTGACAACCCCTTATCCGAAATTCCAAAAACCGAAAGGCTCTGAAAACCGAAGTTTTTTTTTGTGGGGCAAATTTTTTTTTTTTTTTTTTTTAACAGAGATAAGCCCACCCGGGCATAGATCACTGACCCACATCAGGGCCTGGGGGGCGAAAATGTAAGAGTAATAATAATTATTCATAGTAAATAAAAAAATTTAATAAAAATACACCAAAATAAAACATGATAACATTAATAATAATAATAATAATAATAATAATAATAATAATAATAATAATAAAATTAATAAAAATAACAATAATACAGTACACTAGAGAAAGCTAAATCAATATGTGCAGTATTGTGTATAGCAAGAAAAAGACCAGAAACAATTTGGACAACTAAGCATAAGCCTAATAAAGATCCAAAGTTTCAGAATGTTGAGATATTTCTTGGAATAGGTATATCTACTAAAGCTCCGTTAGTAATTTTAAAGAGGGGATGGCTTTTGCGAATAGGTGTCGTCATTAATAAGATAATCGAAGTGGCCTTGAATAAAGATTAAAAATTTTTACAATAACAATAAGAGTTAATGGAAGATAAAGGACAATGAATAGAGTAAAAGATATTGTTGGCGGCCTATAAATAGTTCTTACCAGAGTAGAGGTAGTATCAAGTGAAAACATATCTAAAGAAATTGCTGATCTAAGAACAGAAATATCAGGAGTAATATAAAGAGGGTCTTTTAACAATATAAAAACTGTTAAAAATAGAGAAAACCTTGAAATGAATGAAAAAAAGATCAAAAGTGAGAAACACAACCTAGACCTATGAATTATTATTATTATTATAATTTTTATTATACTTTCGGCCTCCAGGCCCTGATGTGGGTCAGTGATCTATGCCCAGGTGGGCTATATAAAAAAAAAAAAAAAAAAAAACTCACCATTCTGAAAAGGGAAAAATTCCGAAATCCGAAATGCCTCTGACCCCAAGGATTTCGGATAAGGGATTGTCAACCTGTATCTGAAATCCTTGGGGCCAGATGCATTTCAGATTTCAGAATTTTTCGGATTTCAGGATGGTTAGGTTAGGGTTTTTTTTTCTTTTTCTTTTTTTTACAGGGATCAGCCCACCCGGGCACAGGTCACTGACCCACATTATTATTTAATTTTTATATATTTTTTATTATAAATTTGATTTACTATGAATACAGTAAAACCTCGATTAACCGACCACATATGGAAGGGGCCGACGGATAATCCGGAAGGTCGGTTAATAGTACATAAAGTTTACGGAAATAAAACATACATTTTCAAAATACCTTTCCCTAACCTACCTCATTTAATTCCCTCTATTCAGTTTTGTTCATTTGCCATTCATATTTCACTAGAATTTGCTTTAAAACATTAACCACTTTAGTAAATAAATATGAAACAGCACAGAAACCGTGAATAAAAAATGGAAAAGTCATATGCTAGGGACTGTCAGTTGGTTGAAAATGTTCAAAGGAGGGCCACCAGACTGGTGCCTGCACTTCGGCACCTCAGCTACCCTGAGAGATTGGAGTGCCTGAACTTGCTTAGCTTATACTACAGACGGGCAAGGGGGTAACCTAGTTGAGGTGTATAAGCATCTCAGGGGGCACTACTCAGTTGAGTGTCCTTACTTGGAGCTGGCGGACGCTCGCCCCACAAGGGGTCACAGCTCAAGATTGAAGAAGCCGCAAGTCCAGAAAACCGTGAGGGCAAACTTTTTTGGAGTGAGGGCTGTAAACTCTTGGAACAATCTACCAGAGAGTGTTGTGACGGCACCGAGTGTGAGCTATTTCAAGAGAAGACTTGACCAACACTGGAGCGGGTTCAGGTACATTCAGGAGCCGGTGCATGCCCAGTATTTGCCAACAGTGCGTGACAGAGACGTGACCGATCGCCCGGGCGGCTAGGGAGCCAATCTTTTGGTGAAGAAGATAAATGAAAAGGAAAAGTAATCAGAGACGTGACCGATCACCCAAGCGGCTAACGAGCCGATGAGTGGCGAAGAGGATAAAAGTAAAGAACATGTCATCACAAAAATTGTGACCAAGTCCCAGGTTGCTAATCTGACTTTCTACCTCATTTACACACAATTGCAGGGTCTCAATTGCTTCTGTTACTATTGACAACACAACATACATACCGGTATATTGTTTCTCATTCTTGATTTTTTTTTCATGTTTGCATTTATGGTTCTTTATTACTATTATTATTATTATTATCATTATCATTATTAATATTATTACCGTACATTATCGCCCCCCAGGCCCTGATGTGGGTCAGTGACCTGTGCCCGGGTGGTCTAATCCCCGTAAAAAAAAAAAAAATTAGGAGTTCGGGATTGATGGTTAATCCGAAAGTCGGTTAATCGAGGGTCAGTTAATCGAGGTTTTACTGTAATTATTATTATAATTAGTATTTCATTTTCGCCCCCAGGCCCCGATCTGGATCAGTGACCTGTGCCCGGGTGGGCTAACCCCTGTTAAAAAAGGAAAAAAAAAAAGTTTTGCTCAAATAAAAAAAAATAATTCGGTTTTCGGAATTTCGGATAAGGGGTTGTCAACAATGATTTCGTTCAGCCAATAACAGTTGGATGATGTTTCCAGGCTTTGCTGCATTTCATCAACTGTTTTTGTACAGTAGATTTGTGTTTAATAACAACAATATAGTTACGGTAAGCCAATAAGGTAGGTTAAGTGTCCTTCCCACAATGCCTTTCTGTGCACCCTATCATATGCCTTTTCCAAATCTACTATAAATCATTAAAACCATCTGTAAGTAATAAAAATAAATACAAACTAATTAAACCAGGACAAGGGACATTGATTAAAAAAACTGATTTTTGTTTGGTTTAAGCCATCTGGTTTAAATCAATTGGTTTAAACCATTGGCTTAATTCATTTGGTTTAAATCATTTGGTTAAACCATTTGTTTTAATCAGCCAACCCTGATTCAAATGGTTGTTCATTTGGGGGATTTTGACTTATGCAAAAGTGGTTAGCAATTTCTGAAAATGGCTAAATAATGAAAAATTACAAATTATTGAATGGTGGTTTTACCTTACAGTACTGTACTGATATTGTCTGAGATCTGAAATAATTTTGCTGAAAGACATTGTCATTTGGTCAACTTAAAATATTTCTAGTGTGATGCACAAACACTGACACATGTGCCTCTCACATCTACCTCCCCTATTGCAGTTGTCACACCACAATCCACATACTGTAGTGTACATACAGTAATCTTACCCATCATGACAGCAAGAATAGCTCCAGTTGACACACCACAAATATAATCAAAGAGTTCATGAATAGGATGACCTGCTTCTTGCTCAATTTTTCTCAGTACTTCTAAGGCGACCAAGCCTCTGAAATGGGATGAGAACTTAAAATCAATATATAAGAGCATGAAATAATAATCAAATGAATTAAAAAATATATAAAGCAATAGATAAGGATAATTAATCTCTATCGACTGTATATACAACTTTACTCCTCTGACACTTTTGTTTGGGCTGGACCAAGAGAGTAGAGAAATCCAAAAGAAGAGAGGAACAAAACTATTGAGAGAGGTGTAAGACAGGTGAACAACAAGCTGAAATATCCATACATACTGCACTTAATCATACCCTCAATTTTCATACAAAGTAATACATTATGTATTATTAGCCTGGAGGCTCATCTGGCATGGCCACCTCTAGAATGGAGCTTCTTTGGGGAGTGAGGTGTTATAGGTAGGATAAGGAAGAATAGAAGTGAAAAATAAATGATAACTATAACTTACCTCACACCTCCACCATCAATTGTCAGGAGTCTAATGCCATGAGCTTTAACAGGTGATGTGTAACCCAACAAGGCCAGAGCTTCCCGTGCTTCACATTTCACCGATTCATTCGTTGTCCTTTCTACGATTTTCAATAATCGTTGAATACCTCCTCTCTGTGAAGACAGTAAAAGGTACATTAAAACAACACTTAAAAAAACTCAACAAACTGCTGGTTGTTAAGAAAGTCATGCTGCCACCCTGGCACTGTAGAGTATATTCATAGCCTTTGTATTTTTATTGGTTAACATAATAAATTTGTTCAAGCAAAAACTACCATATGTTTCCACTGGAAAAAAAATATATGAGACTCTAAACTAAGCAAAGATGGTGTGACTATATTGTACAGTACAGTACTATATGTGCAGGGCCAGATCCTGGCTGATGCAACTGATGCACTTGCATTGCTCAAAAAATTCTGACCGATGCAAAGGTATCATATGCATTGGTCAAGTAATTGACCTATCAGTAACATAATTTCATTGTCAGTGTTGACCTGCATGACCCACCAGCTTCTGACCGATTATCCCGTAGGGAAGGGATAATCGGAGCGGGGCCTGGGGGTGGGGTAAGGTCACAGGTAAGGTTACACTCGCATTACATCCTGACACACATCACCCAAACTCCAGTCGGGATTCCCCCTCGAGGCATTATGCGGCAGTCACCTTTGACAATGTCCAGTAACCAGGTCTGGATTAAGATTGTGAGGGGGCATGAGGCTGTATACTGTATTATACAAATTAAAAAGGGGGTATTTACTCTAATATATACTGTACTGTAATAACCGTAGAGCGTTAATAAACATAACAAAATTAATTTACTTAACCACATTGTGAAGTTGTGAACTTATGACAGATTTAAGTTTAAGAAACACAAATTAAGGCTTAAACTCGAGGGCCTTATTAGCCTTATGGTTAATCCAGGCCTGCAGGTAACACAATTGCTGCCAGGATTCCTTACATGGAAATCTGTACACACCTGCTGAACAATCACTGCTAGTTTTATTTCTTACCAGCATACTGTGTAGTGTACCGTGGGTGCTACAACTTGAACTTGTGATTACTGTACTAGAGTATAGTAACAGTTCACTGAAAGCTACTTTATGATTACAGTACAGCACTTGTGTTGATCTACCTGAACTTTCCATGTACAGTTGCCTCCAGTTCCATCTTTAACAATGGGATTATGATTAGAACAAAAAATCACATGAGGTTTGCTGATTCACTGTCATTGATACCCTTCACTTGGCTTGGAATCTTTTACAGCGATACCACACTGTTCGGGGAGACCAAGTTCATTGTTAAAGGTGGGAGTGGAGGCAACTGTACATTGTTAATATACCTGCACTGTCTATGTACAGTAGCTAAAATAGTGTCTGACAGGGTGGGTCCGATGGCTTCCGAAATTATACGTACAACTCGTGATGTCTCGGGAGGGTTGGTATGCGTGTCTTCACCCACTGCCTTTCAGTAACCAACACAGAGAGTGAGTTGGCATATAGGAATAAAATAATCGGTGAAGTGATTACACTCTTATAGTATAAGGAGACGACATGCATATCCCAATACCTATTTTCGGTGGTCTCATATTGTTTCACAAAGAGTATGCAGATACTTTTTTTAGCTACTGTACAGTACATTGTATACCTGCACTGTGTAGATGCTGAATCAGTTTCGACTTATATGACAGTTTTACTGAATATTTATTTATCTATCTATCTAATCACTAATTAGCTCACCTTGACAGCTACTCCTTTAGCTTGTGGGTATTGTCTGAGGTGGTTGCGTAAGTCTTCAAGTTTTCTTAAACGACCTCCCTCAGTCAGGTGGACACCAAGACCTTTTACTAAAAACCGAGTCCGAGCGTCAACAGATGCCTGAAACAGGAATGTAAACTTATGTATACTATCATTAAATTCATTAATATTGTACAAAACAAAGTAAAAAATTATCGATTACAATAATAGGCTAATATTGATGACTAGTCCACCGACACGTTATTTGTTTTGATGCTTATGTTCATACTATATCTTCATCAATGAGTTATGATATAAAAATTTATTTGGAAAATTATTAGTTTGGTAGATAATTAGGCACCTAGACGTGCACTACTTTGTCTTCTCGGCAGTAATGCTGCATCCCCGTATGTAAACACCAAATCATAATTAATGCTCTGATTGATGCCAGTGTACGTCTATGAGCCACATGGTCCAGGCAGCTGCTCTTACATCCACAAAAAATTTAACTTCTTTCTGTTTAACATGCCGAGGGGTGGAACCCCACGGTAAGGAAGTAAGGTAAGGTTAGGTAGATTTCTTTGGTTAGGTTGGCAAGGTCTTCTCACAACACTTCTGGCATTTGTTTTTCTTATCAACTAAGGTTAGGTTAGGTTTAATTTAGAAATACAGTAACCACTTTTTAACACATTTGCCCAAAGTACGAAATTGTGGCTTTATTTAAATCGTTTTCTCTGAAAAATCAGCGGCGGGTCAGTCATCAATAATATAATAAATTCAACACCTATTTATTTACATTTTCTCTGCACATGTACTAACTACAGGGTATTTTTACATGTTAACCGGTTATAAGCCAATCACACAAATAACCTAAATCACATGCCAGATAATGCAAAAGTGTGTTGAGGGAATTTTGTAGGTAACTATTGTATGCAATACAGTAATTCACAGAATCTGCCTACACACTGGAAATTATACCTATACTCAGGGTTAACCAATAGTTTAAACCAATGGGCCATTAAAAAATTATGTAACTCAGAGGGGAGTGGGGGTATCAAGTCAGGTGTTACAGTGTGTTATGGGGAGGGGAGGTGTCAGAAGAAGTGTTAGGTAACAGTAAAAAATAAAATACAGGTAAAGTCTAAATAATACAGATGTAATCTTTGAAATTCTTTAATACTGAAAGTGTGGGGCGCCGGTGGGTTGAGCGGTACCGCTCTTGCCTCGCAAGCAAGGTGTCATGGGTTCGATTCCCGGGCCGGTGGAAAGTTGTTCGGACACACTTCCCAGCCTCCCTTAGTCCCTGTTCACCTAGCAGCAAAGTAGGTACCTGCTGTAAATCGAAAGTTGCGAATTCGTATTCAGGGAGTTGTTGGAGCTTCCAATAACTTGATGACATAAATCATTGATTCTCCAGGCTTCTACGCCCATAACTCATGAGACATTAAGGCAAGCATGAACGTAGCATGCTTCCCTGTTGGGTGCATAAACGCTTCTGCGCTTCACCTTACACAAGGATGTAGGGGGTGCCCAATATTTAAAATAAATAAATAAAAAAAATACTAAAAAAATTACTAAAATTACAAAGAAAATATATATACTTAAGTCTTCCTATACCTTGACAAATGCATGCATATTCTATTTTTTCAGATAAACGTGAAAGCAAGTACAGGTTGTACCTCTCTAGTCCGGCATTCTGTGGTCCGGAAACTCCCGTGGTCCGGAACGATTTTAGTTTGTGCAATAGGTAGATAGGCAGCTTTTTTTTTTTTTTTTTATCTGAATTATTATTATTATTACAGGAGTATTAAATTTTTGCCCCTCAGGCCCCAATGTGGGTCAGTGACCTATGCCCGGGTGGGCTAATCCCCTTAAAAAAAAAAAAGCCGCGGGAAATTAAGGTTTGTTTACATCCGGCAGTTCGGCTGCTCTCTCTCTCTCTCTGCTTGTCTATACAGAGTACAACATTTAACCCTTCAATATATATGAGCAGTAAATAAGTGTTGCTTTCATATTCTTATGTAGAGTAATGACGATATATTTTCACATGTGCGCACTTACATACGAGCAGTCTCACTTTTTTTTTTACCATTAATGGTTAGCTACTTATATTGTTCCATTTATTAACATTAAATAACATTACAGGTTCTTCAAGCAACCATATTCATTTTTTACATTAATTTTACTACAGCTAAGCTCAGGGTCTTATTTTCTTCAGTTTTATATGTAGAACCAATGAGTCACTGGTTTTGTAAGCTTTAACATAAACAATGCCAGCAGCCGTCTCGTCTACTCTAATATTCCACGTATTATTAATAAATTGTATTGTTAATTTTGCACACGTACATTAATTCAATAAAAACAAATTCAGAAACATTAATTAAAATATATATGAACAGTAAATAAGTGTTGCTTTCATGTTCTTATGTAAAGTAATGACGATATGTTTTCACGTGTGCGCATGCGCACTTACATATGCGATCTCTCTTTTTTCTTTACCATTATCGTTAGCTACTTCTATTGTTCCATTTATTAACATTAAATAACATTACTTAAAACAACCATATTAATTTTACTACAGCTACAACCAAGGTCTTATTTTCTTCAGTTTTATATGTAGAACCAGTCAGTCACTGGTTTTGTAATCAACGAAAACAATGCTGTGTTATTTCCTCGTGTGTTTTAATATTCTACGTATTATTAATGAATTGTATTGCTCATTTTGCACACATAAACATTAATTCAATAAAAAAGACATTCAGTAATAAACAATAATGAATCTTTTGTACATAAGAGAAATGACGCTGTTTACACGATTATGCACGTCGTCTGCACGTTGGCGGGCCGTTCAAACCCGTCGAAATTCAAGTTTCCGCCGTCAAAATTTTTATTTATTTATTTTTTTGTGTGTTCCAATAAAATACGTTAAGAATTAAAAACTCGCGAAATTTGAGAAGCTATTATACAACATTTAACCCTTCAATATGTCTTCAAAGAGACCATGACGCAGAGAAAGCGGTGCTAGTGCTTCCAGGCATAAGCACAAGACACTATCTATCCAGGAAAAGGGTGAATTTCCATGGTCCGGCAATTTCCATGGTCCGGCACCAGTCAGGTCCCGAGGTTGCCGGACTAGAGAGGTACAACCTGTAATGCAACTTTAATAATGAAAGCAAATATATTTTATGTAATATATTCCTGATATATTGTTTGCATGTAAAAAAATATATATATATATTTATACCCTGTATATTTCTGAAAACTCGGTTCTCAGTGTAAACATTTAAGTGTCCAGGGGTGGTTCATGTGTGTTGTCCCAGATCTAACAGTTTTCCTGCCACACTGGTTCTCTACTCTGTACAGTCATGATTGGTGTTCCTTTGTAAGCCCTGATCTCAGTTGGCATTTCAAGTCTCTCAGTATCCAATTCTTCCTCCATGTGCCACTCATACAGTACTCTTCTTTTTCAATGTACTAGACAACACACATGAATTCCCTTTGTCTCTTGGCAGCTAGTCTTTGAAATCGCAGCCTTTCTGTTGGAGCACTCACAATAGAATGGCTACTGCAACTTGAGCAGTGTTTCTTAATACTGTATGAGAAGTCTTGAACTTGACTGAAGCAAAGTATTTGCCGCATGTTCCACAGATATGCTTCTGTAGCTCATTCTTCAGACGAGGACATGCCAAATCATATGGCACGTCTTTTGGAAAGTTTTTAACTGCCCATGCTGGTAGCACAGATTTGTCCAGTACTAGATTGACAAAGAGCTGTAGATATTTGGCACTCAAATCATCAAAACAACATAATAAGCCATCTGCTGTCTGTACAAGGGGAAGTGGTGATGGTAAGAATCTGTTGGTGATAACTGAAAAGTAAGAACTTCCTGGTGCATTACAGCAAGCTGCATCTTGGTATTTGATGACCTATAGAAAATACTGACTCTCTTGCACATGTTTTGCATACCAGGAAGGACTCTTTTCAAAGATTTCTGATTCATTTCCTTCCTGTAAATCAATTTATTCAGCAACTGTTGGATAGCCATCAATAACAGCTGACCAAATGTCTGAGAATTATCCCGGCATGAGCTCTTTTGCTTACTGTACATGTACGTCAATCAACGCTCCTGCAGATGAGATATGAGGCGCTCAGCATTACAAGGGGGTAAAGCACAACCCTGGGCAAAATACATTTTTTGACGGATATTACTATTTTCACCCATCCTCTACATGTTGGCGTTGGATGTAACCCTCTAGGTAGACTAGAAATATGGTTGAAAATCATTGAAAAATAGAGTGCCATTTCGCCTCAGGCCGGGAGCTACTTATCTGGCTGTGAGCTCAGTACAGCAAGTAAAGGTGGTCACATCCCGTTCAGAGTGAGAAGAGCAATTTTTATAGAGGGCAGAGAAAGACTTTGAACAGTATGTGATTGATTTTGATGAGGCCATTAAAGTTATACGCACTCCTCAGGATTTACATAACTTCAACTTACTACAATCGTCAGGGATAATAAAACGAAGGAACTAAACAAAGTAAGATTGTAATACTATTATCATAATACTGTTTTTACCCAAGATTATGCAAACTTTCTCCGCCTTTGTATTAGTACCGTATATACTTGTCTATAACCCCCCCTCGTTTATAGGTCGACCCTGATTTTTTGACCAAGAAATCGTTAATTTACGATATTCCTCGTTTATAGTTCGACCCACGTTTTTGAGGGTAATAGAACAACAAAACCTTCAATAAAAACGCTCTACGTCCTATAAACTGAGACTCGCCGTGCATGAAACACGAGTGCCGAAGGCAAATTGTTTACCATTTATAATTACAACACTTTACACTGAAACGTGGGTAGTTTCAACAAAAATATTGTATATCTCCATTCAAGTATTTATTCAAGTCAGTTAGAAGGGAATATTATTGTAATACAACAGTTTTTAACTAAACCATTCGAAAAGCTATTACGGTAACATCTTTTGAACGAAAGAAAGAGAAAGTCATTGTTTTCGTCACGATTTTATCCCACTTTCCACTTTAATACGTACGTAATTTCAGCAAAAATATTACATTTCTGTGAATGTATTATATCAAGCACAGTGTGAATAGAATATCATTGTAATATAACAACATTTTAACTGAAAACTATTAAAAAACGAGTAACATCTCAAGAACAGAAGCTTAGGTAAAGTCTTTTGTTTTCGTCATGTATTTTATCCTATTTTACATTGAAATACATCACGTTTCAGCAAAACTACTTTTATTTCCGAGAATATATTCATTCAGGCGCAGTTTAGGTAAAATATACGTGTGATGTAATAGTTTTTTAACTGAAAACGATTCGAAAAACACGTACCCTCTAGCCCTGTTCAAGGAGAGGACTGGGAGAAGCTGTTTGGTGCTGCAGACGATGACAAGGAAAATGATTTTGATGGATTTTAATGAAAATATTCAGAAATATGGTATCGTAGTATTTATTCAAGTCAATTAGGATAGAATATTATTGTAATACAACAGTTTTTTAACTGAAAACCATTCGAAAAGCGATTACGGTAACATCTTTTGAACGAAAGAAAGCGAAAGTCATTGTTTTCGTCACAATTTTATCCCACTTTCCACTGTAATACGTACGTCATTTCAGCAAAAATATTACATTTCCGTGAATGCATTATATCAAGCACAGTATGAATAGAATACCATTGTAATATAACAATATTTTAACCAAAAACTATTAAAAAAACGAGTAACTTCTCTTGAACATCGGAAGGTTAGGTAAAATCTTTTGTTTTCGTCATGTATTTTATCCTATTTTACATTAAAATACATCACGTTTCAGCAAAACTACTATTTATTTCCGAGAATATATTCATTCAGGCACAGTTAAGGTAAAATATACATGTGATGTAACAGTTTTTTAACTGAAAACGATTCGAAAAACACGTGTACCGTCTAGCTGATACACAACAGCTGGTGGTGTGTCATGCGTCGTTGTAAACAATAGGAGGTTGAAGTAGATTACCGGGTATTATATTAAGTGTGAAATATCGAAAAGGTTTTTATTACCGGTATTTTTTGTAGATCAATGAGAACTGTGATACCGTGATATGATAAGTTAGCCTGTGCTAAGAACTTCAACATAGACTACTGAAAGCACGTTGTAAGGTAATTTAGCCTATTGTAAGTTGGTGAGCTTCATTTGCTGAAGGAACTGCACAACTTTTCATTACTAATTGGTACATATTTTACGTTTCCATTGTTTACTGGCAGTAAATGGTAAATATTTTTCATGTCTGAAGCTAAAAGTTGCTCCTCGCCCTTCCCATCATGCACGGGTTCAACCTAACAAAACTATTACGCATGTATAGGACGACCCCCAATTTTTTGCCTAAAAATTTGGTCTTAAAAACTCGAACTAAACCATTATGTCTACGGTGTATTTATTACTTTAGAGTTAATGAGGGGATGGTGTAGTGGTGTTTCCTTATTATTACACACTATTATACTTAACAATATTATAAATCTTTGGCTAATAATAGGGACGGAAAGAAAATTACTGATAGGCAAATGAGTTTTTTATTATTATTTGGGGTGGGGGTGGGAAGACGAGTGTTGTTTTGGTGATCATTAACTTGTTTTACAGTATAGCCTACAGTAATAAGAAAATTTTGAGAAAACGCAAGTTATTGTTGGTTTGAAGATCAAACAACCATACATGATGGTAGTTATTCTCATTCAAGTCGCGATAAATACAGTAAGTATGCTGTAATCTAACGGATTCTACTACGAGTATTCCTATAACTAACGGTTTTACCTATAAAATTGAGAATGCTATAACGAACTTAAACCCAACAAACTAACGCGGATGAATACGCGGACTATTTCGTCCTGGGCATGAATATTGTTGTACCGCGGCTCATAGCAAGAGACGTCAGGGTCCATATTGGTTCATATTGTGTATCAGTGCAAGTGAACTTGTTGAAATTTAGTCTTTTGATGTGGAAATTCGTGTTATTTTTATAACTATTTGTTATACAAGTGTACAATTGTAACAATAATCGTCAAAGCGAGTGAGAAAGCTAATAACCCTTGAAACTAAGAAAGAAATTATAAAAAACAGACAAAGTGCCTGTAAGACAGTCACCAAGAGGGCTAGGGAAGGATGAGTCCTCTCCTTCCAACTCTTTCTCCATAATTCCTCCCTCCTCTGCCTCCTGTCCTGCATGCTGAACAACACTAAGGTAAGATAAAGTACCGGATTTTTACAATTTCCACAGAAATTTTTCAGTGTTAAGTGGTTGTATTTGGGGGCCTGGGACGGATTAATCCTATAACTTAACGAATGCTTTAACAAACGAGGTTCTAAAACCAATTACTGAAGATTCGTTAAAGCATACCACACTGTAATAACTATTCACAGTACAGGTGCTCTTCCTACTTACGAACGTGTTACGTTCCTAAGGCTTGTTTGTAAGTCCAGTTGTTTGTAAGTCCAATCTTTACTCTTGTAGACACCAAACATTGTAAAAAATGAAAAGATTATGGATATTTAGTACAGCTATACCCTTTAATACAGCCTTAAAACCTGGCTTACTCTTCTCCTCTTAGATACTGTTTGTTCTATCTGGAAATTAAAAAATCCAGTTCATCCACATTAAACACCTGTTCTGGCAGGTAACCCCTCAGTGATGATGTTTGTATCTCTGAAAGTTTGTGTTTGAATGTTCTTGTAGAGGAGCACTTGTACTAACTTCCAGTTTTCACAGTTCACTAGAGAGGATTGAGCTTACGATAAAAAAGAGCCCTCAGCTTAAAAACAATAAAGTTATAGTTTTTTGAACTGAGGACCTTTAAACGATATGCCTCCGTTTTTAATTTGGCGCTTCACCCCTTGTAATGCAGAGGCCTCATATATCTGTACAGTACGCAGGTACAGCAACCCATTTTTTATCCTTTTGCCACTGATCAGTTCATTAGCCGCCATGTCGTCACGCTTAACACGAGCTGTTGGCAGATACTGCATGCACTGTCCTGAATATATCGAACCTGCTCCAGTGTTGGTCAAAATTCGCCCCTGAATGAGCTCACACTCGGTGCCATCACAACACTCTCTGGCAGATTGTTCCAAGAGTTCACAATGGACGAGTTGTCAGTTCTGATATTATAATACAAGAAATATACACTGCCACTGCTCAGAGTGACACGTATATATAACTTGTAATAAAAGTTTAAAGTCCTGCTATAATAGTCGAGATAAGTATATTTAGAAACAAGGCTGCCGTTTGCAATGGCGTCACCAGTTTTCCAGCAGACCACTTTCTCCAACAAACTCACCGCTGCGTCGGAGGTTGTACAAAGGATGGCCTTTTCGGACCCCAAATGCCACGTTCAAGTAAGTTTTACGGGTGTTTGTTTAATAGTCTAAGTCATGGACATTTCATAAGTGAAGAAATGTGCTGTGAAGAGCAGCTTATGGACATAAAACTCCATGTTCACACCAGCTCAGCTGTCTTGTATTCTTACCTGGTAGACTCTCTTCTTTCCAGTGCATTTACAGAGTATATCAGTGCTAGATGGAGATAAGAGTCAATTTAGAAGTAATGACATTGTCTGGACTTTGTTTTGAGAATACCTGGTGCTAGTTAAAATGACAAAATAGCGCTGGGATATATCATCATTTATATTAATTAATGGGTAAAATTTTACTTTAACTACCATAAGTATTTGGATGTTTAGATTCGAGATAGGCTATGTTGGCCAAATTTTAAGTTTTGGTCATTCCTGTACTTAAGACATGCAAACTTATGTTTTTTTCTGATGGTTTGCGATGTGTTATAAACGATTTTGACCTTCATTTCTATTGGAAATATCCATTGAATTAGTTAATGCTTTTATTAATATTTATATACTGTATTCAATATAGTATTACGGTGTTGCACAGTAAAGCACAATTAATTATCTAATAATATTTATTTACTGAGCCGTTCCACAGCCAAGAAGGTTGACAACTACCAGTCCTAGTCCTTCCACAACATTAAATATAGACATCAGTGACAAAACTTATATTTTCCAGACATGAAATAGAGAACAGTGATGAAAACTCCATGTTGGAGTTATCGGTCTTTATATCATTTGACACAGTAAAGTAAATACACACAATGATACTTGAGCAGTAATTAATTTTAACATAAGAATAAGGTATGCTTGTATATCAACATTGTATATGGCCACAAGTCCTAGTATTTCTTGGTAACAACACATACACCACCAGATGGCTGCCTCCAGGCTCTGCTTGGCTGCTCGAGCCAACCTGTGACGTGACTAATCAATCTCAGAGCTTTACGCAATCACGTGACTTTTAGCAACTTTAACCCTTATTTACAATCCGTTGACCCAATTTATTTTAAAAATATCATAACCATAGTGAATTGAAGAGTTATTTACCATTGATCTGCCATTTACTTAAAAAATTCAAACCATCAACTCGCTCTTTTCATCTGAAAAAATTTGCCCAGTGGGCATAAGACTACAACACAGAAAAGGACTAAAACAAGTTTCAGTAAAAGATACACAGCACACAAAAGGAGATGCAGTTTTAATGGTCCTAAAATTAGATACTGTACTGTACTGAACTAGACATGCTTCAGAAAATAAATTTAAAAATAAAATAACAAAATAAATAATATTCTTTGTATGTACACTAAATATACTCGAAGAAAGATGATGTGTATGGTAAATTCTCAACTAAATTAACAGAAAATTAGACTTAAAATTAAAAACCTCCAGGGCAGCAAGAACCATGAGCAACACTCACCACCTCCCCCCCATTACCTATTTATTGTCATCCATTCTCTCTAACTAGCTAGTATAACTAAGTGCTTCAGAATACACCTGTAACACATGTGTACTTCAGAACACACCAATAAGAAATGTGTAGCAGAACACACCTGTTGTTTTGATAAAGCCACCCTGGCAAAGGTTAGCAGTAGTGAAGAAAAAGTCAAAGCCTACCTTAGAAACAATGTCCTTCTTTACTCTCCATTTTGGTATATTTTTCTCAGTATTCTTAGGTTCCTCATTTTTTGAGAAGTTGAGGCGAACTTGAGAGAAGTACAATGATGTGTAAGCATTAACAGTTTTCAGTGCCTTCTGCAGTTCAGTTGAGTTCTCATTTAGAACTACTGAAAGAGAGACAACTCACATTAGTACCAAGTTGTCTTGATAATTAAAATATATAACTTTATTGACCATGAAAATTTTTATAAATAAAATTCAAAACTAACCTAAAGGTTTCAAGGCACTATTGTTCTTGGCTCCATTTTCATCTTGGAAGTTATTTACCCCTGAATTGGGGGAATTGGTTTCTGCTCTGGTCTGAAATGCCCCATGTACCTTCTTCAAGAGTTGTGGCAGATCTCTGAAGGGTGGCCAGGGCTGGTGTGGTGCGGGCAATATAGTCACGTACCTGTGCCACCAAACGCCACTGAGTCACACTGCTGCCTCCTGAGGCCATTACACCTCATATGCAGTCTGAAAAATTATGTAAATTACATTCTAACCCTCAAGACATGACAAAACTCAAAATTAATAATACACTCTGTACTGCTGGAAACCGAAAGTTTTTTGTGGAGCAAAACTTTTTTTTTTTTAACAGGGATTAGTCTACCCAGGCACAGGTCACTGACCCACCCCACGCCTGGGGGCGTAAATAATAATAATAATAATAATTATTCATAGTAAATAAAATGTACAAAAAAATACACAAAATAAAATAATAATTATAACAATAATAATAGTAATAGTAATAATAATACTAATAATACTGTAATAATAAAATACAGTAGTACCCCGATTTACGCGGTCAATTGAACCCACAGGGTACCGCGGAAAGTGAAAACCGCGTAAAGTGAACAACAGAACATATGGGATTAATTCCAATAGAGACTGGCCCGACCCCCAAACTCCACTTTTTCCGACACAATACCTATGTTGTAGTAAAAATAACATCTAAATTTTATGATGGTATGCTCACACAATTAATATTTAAGAGAAATACAGTCGCCAGGTTAATGTCCATTCAAATAATGGACTCAAATCACCCCTCCTCCTCCCCCCCTTCCCAGCTCACTGGCTCCTACCTCTCTGAGAAATGTTTGGGTGAAAACACTAGATTTTAACGTTAGTAATAAATAATACCTCAGACTAAAGTTAGGATAATATAATTGACATTTCTGGATTCCTTGCAGGTCAGGGAATATTTTGAATGTAAACTTCATATATTTTGCACAAAAGATAAAATATTTGCTTTGTGTAAACCAAATTATTACATTAGATCTAAAATTTGTATGTCTAATGCAAAATCCATGATGTTTATATTCAAAATGATCATCATATTGTAAGAATTCCAGCAATGTAAATTATATTCTGACCGGGTAATTTGTATGAATTTTATGAGCTAAATAAAAAAATTATACTTCACCCGTGTAGTATACGAGTAGATGCACCGCGTAAAATGAAATTCCGGTTCTGGCTAGGTACCGCGTAAATGTAGAATCGCGTAAAGTGAAACTGCGTAAATTGGGGTATTACTGTAATAATAATAATAATAATAATAATAATAATAATAATAATAAAGAAATACAAGAATGAAAAAAGATAAAAAGTGAGAAACACGACCTACATGTAGACCTATGAATTATTATTATTATTACTATTATATTATATTTTAGCCCCCCAGGCCCCAATGTGGGTCAGTTACCTGTGCCCGGGTGGGCTGATCACCGTATAAAAAAAATATTAATAAATAAATATATAATAATAATAAAAAAAACTAACCTAACCATTCTGAAATCCGAAAAATTCCAAAATCCGAAATGCATCTGGCCCCAAGGATTTCAGATAAGGGATTGTCAACCTGTTACTGGACATTATATACAATTTGGACCATGATTTTTTTTTATGTGATTTCTAGAAGCTAAATGTTTTCAGTTAATGCAATTTTATCAGAAACTACAGGGTACTGCCATAAGGAGTCTCAACAAGTTGTAATTAAAGTATTGTACAGCGACTTGTGTCACAAAGAACAGGATGTAGAACCCTTACAGTATGAATTGTTGAATTTAAAGTTGGAAATTGTATTTCAAGATAAGGTAAGCTGTACATTTGTAACTGCATTATTTTTTCTCTTGTAATTTGGAACTAATAATGCAATTAATATATTTTTTCTTCTTCATATATAGTGTTCTCATAACAGTAATTCTGTATACCAATTTACTGATGATAACAATTAGTGTGTCGACTTTGCTATCACTCGCACTTGTAAGAGACTACCACGTATTGTGTCTGTACTGTACCTCACACAGGTCTACAGGTGCATCTGGGGGTGTAGGAGTTAAACTGTATAATTACCAGTACAGTACTTGCAATATCTTTGATTGAGGTGGTTTCATTTTACTTGGTAAAAAAAATTATAATTTCTTAGTTTCATCGATACAACAGCAAGAGGGGCCAAGATTGCCTCTCTACCAGAATCACCTGTAATCCATTACATTTCACTAGACACTTTAAAGATACAGTACAAGATAGTTGAGATGGTGAGCACACTCACCCATTATAGCAGGCTTAAAGCAGTCAATCTTTATGCATGAATGATATATTTTTTCTTTACTCTCATGTAAAATTGTATGAAAAATAATGTGAATACAGTACATATACAGTATGGTAAATGATATTGTATTCTGTGCCGTTTTAAAGGTACTGTACAGGCAGCCCCCGAGTTACAAATGGGTTATGTTCCTGGACCCTGTTCCTAATTCAATTCAGAAGTTTTAATTCCATAGTTTAGGTTAGGTTAAAGCACAACCCTGCTATTACAAAACAATAATAATATTCCATACAGAAGAAATAATGTAAATACTGTATGTGTATGTGTATATATAAAGTGATGTTCAACAATATACAGTAACACTGTAAAGTACTTTACCGTAAAAAATTGGGTATTTGTGAGATTTTTATGATGTACCGGTATATACAGTGTATTGGAATCCCGTTCATAATTGCGTGTTTGTATGGTTGTTGAATTCTAAAGTTTCTCCTCAGAACTGTACCATTTTCTGGGTGTTTACAAGGAAATGTTATGCATTTTACAAAATATCAATTAACAAAAGATTTTTCAGGTACGGAACCTTTTTGTAATAGTATACTGAGTGACTGTACTATTCAGCACTGTAATTCTCCAAAGAAGACACCAAATTGCACCCAGGTCACAGTGGAGAGAGGCAGCTGACAATGGTGATAAAGCTCTAGCTATGTAAAGCTGCACTTGGAAGAAAAAAGCATGGTACTTTTTGAGAACACCACTACTACCAGGAGTTGTTTGATTGCATTAATTTTTTCAACAGATGTTCTTATCATTATATAAAGTATTTTAAAGAGGAGAAAACTCTTTATTTTAATTTCAGTATAAGTATTTTTTCTTATTTTTTTTCTCAATATACGATCATAAATCACCTGTAGTGGACAGAGCATCAAGGATTAATCACGGTGAAAACTGATCATACGACACTCAAACAATGTCTCTACGTGCTTTGTACATGAAGAAATTAATTATTTACCATAAATACTCCTCCAAAAAATCTGCCGAGTCTGTTTGTTTACAACCCGTTCGGTCCAAGTGTACTCTCACATCTACAAAAAATTAAAATTCCATCATGGTGCTTCAACAGAGTTACTTTCATTGGTACAGTATCAAATAAATACTTTCTGTTTAATATGATGGGGTAGGGGTAGGGGTCCGGGTGGTGGAGGTTAGGTAGGTTTCTTTGGTTGGTCAGGTCCTGTTAGGTTATAGTAAATGTCGCCTCCTATAAAAAAAACTTACTATAATGATAAGAACGTGTGTGGAAAAAATTAATGAAATTGAACAACTCCTTTTGGTGTTAGTGCTGTTTTCAGACATTACCAAAAAACACCGGTAAATTTTCATTAGTACACACAACTCTTCTGTTAGAAAGTCAAAACTATGTTTTTCTAGTGTATTTTTGTGTTTTGATTGGTTTTGACCTTGATTTCCGTCAGAAATTGCCTGTTTTTAGCTATCGGGGGTTTTGGGTGGGTCATTTTCCGACCAAAATCATGGCGAATCGAATACAAAATCCCCCCCCCCCCTCCCCGCCTAAAAAAAAACACTAGAAAAACAGTCATATAAACCTAACCTACCGGTAACCTGACTCTTACCTTATTGGCCTGGTTCTGGTTCGTCGTTCGATTCTGAGATTAGTACAGATGGAAATGACACTTTTATAAAAATGTTCAATCGAATCTGATTGGGCCAAAAATACTGTGAATTAAACCACAAATCATTTTAATTGGTGGAAAAAAAGGGACGATTTATGAAGGAAACACGCAGAGTGGGAGGTGAGGTAGGCAATAATGGCAGAAGATTAATGGAAGAGAATAGAGAAAGATTTGGGATGCATTATCTCTGTTATTATAAGTTTGTGATGGTAATGTAATAGAAGAAAATTATCTTAAAATTACACGTCTTATTCGAATATGATAATAGATTTGGGGTAGGAAAGTGTTGTGTGCACTAACGCAGAAATACCAAAATATATACCGGTATACTTCATTACACAGGTCCGGACTGGTCACAGAGCTAACTAATAACAGTTTAAAATAATTATAAAATAACAGAATTTCAATACAAAGGGACGATCATTGACCTTGTTGATGACAGATACATAGGATAGATAACAAGAACATAAGTACAGTATGTGGTAATGTTTGACACCTCAGTTCACTTTTAATTTAACAATTTCTTCCTCACTTTCACTTGTTCACCTTCTCAGCACAGTGGCCAACACGATTGTGACTTCTACACTAACATCTCCGCGTATTTGATCTCAAGGGCGGAATTAGCTCACCTGACTGTCTCTTTGGCATCAAGTCTATCTATTGTTAAAATATTACCACGAACGATGTCTCCAACCTATATTTTTTTAAACTCATCTGTTTTATATACAATATTCGAGTTTGGTATATATACTTCTAATTTGTACATCAATTTTCAACTTGTACTTAAAATTAATAACTTGTATTTTTATACATCTCAGGGTGTACTTGCACTTAAATAAGTCTTTACATATATTTACGTATTTTTATTTTCCTATGCGATCAGACAATGCAAACCTTAAATAGCTGGAAAATAAGCTAACTACCTTAAAGGGAATTTTCTAAGATACAGTTAAGTTAGAAAGGTAGGTTTCTCTTTTCTACCATTGCTTGAAAAATAATAATTCACCAATTATTAAGATTTTTCAGGAAATATAGATCAATCGGGACTATCATAATAAAAAAAATATTACGCTTTTGTTATTAAGTTAACTAGTATTCTTAATGGACTGTGTCAGGTTAAGTTCCCTGGTTTAAAAATGATAGGTGCGACGTTTCCTCCGTGGTTCCTTTTAAACATTAACTTGCTGGCCTGGCAATGTTTACAAATACGCCACTGACACCTCTGGCATTTACATGACGTCATCGCACCACGGGCAGCTCCACCAATCACCATCGTTTCCTCTTGGATTTAACTCCTCTCTGATTGGTCGATGGTTCGCACACCCTACCCTGACCTTGTGACGTCATGTCTTATAGCGTTCAAAATTATATAAACTTGTTCATAAATGTAAGTAATACATATGACAAGAATTAAACTACAGTATAAGGACAATACAGAAATAGTGCAAGTAGGTCAGCAGTAATACATATTACTGTATACTGCCATTCATCTCCAGAAGCCCCCAAAATGCCCAGTCAAAAATATTGACAACTAATTATTATAATTATTGGGCTACCTGTTGTTATACTGTTATTATTGCACTTCAACAACGAAGGTGTAGCGTACACCTGACTTATCTCACCAATCTACCACTACCTCACCCCCCTGAGTAATCAGCCCAAAACCTCCCGGCCCCTCCACCTCGACCTTGCCTACACCTGACTTCCCACACGACCACGATGAACTCCCGGACCACAAACACCCAAACCAAACCCAATCCTCCCCTAACTCCTCAGAGTCCCAAGAATAAAATGGCAGCCTATCCCCCAACAGAAATAGTGGTCAAGACCCCTAGACCAAAGAGGAAGAACACCTCCCCCCTTTCTCCCTACACACCTGACAGCAAAAGAATTATACAATACACACATCCAACTAAATCTATAATCAAAGTAAATCTATTCGGCACTACCCCAAATGAAACAGAAAACAACCCTGACACGAACCTAGCACACTCCCCTCAACCTCCCGACTCCCCCACACACAGTCACGTAACTGCCCATCCCTCACTTGCATACACAACACTCAGACCACCACGCTCACAGTCACTCGACAATTTAGACCTCATCCCTGCACACCAGAATTTCAATCTCATATAAGTACTAAACAGACCAAACACTCCCCTCCCACCTCCTTTATATTAATAACTTCCTCATAACCACATCCAACAACTCCCCCCAAATAAAACCTAACCTCTCCTCAACCCCACACCCAATGATTCCCACCCAACCTAACCCAATCAACCTAACCTAACCTTACCTGACTTACCCAACTTCCCTTCTACCCCCTCACTCCAAACCCCACGCCCCCAACTCCAAACTCAAGACCACTCCGACAAAAAAAAAAAAAAATAAATAAATAAATAACTAACCACTCAACCTGCACTCCCCCCTAAAAAGAAAGAAAAAACCCTAACAATCCCCCCAAAATAAAAACCTAACATACCCAGCCGTTACTAGCAATCCCACACACAAAAAAACCATTCTACCATTAACTAACCACACCCTATCACTCCTCACAAAACAAATACCTAACTTACCCATCCCATACTAACTCACATGACGTCGGGGAGAGGTGCGCAGTACCTGCAGCAAGCCCTCTCCCTCAAGAATGTTACCAACACTGTTTTATGGGCACCTCCCTTAGCCAATAAGGTCGGAGAGGTGTACCTAATAAAAATGGTACCATCATACAGATGATATGAACGCCTCCCTTAGCCAATATGGTCGGAGAGGTGTGCACAGTACCTGTACACAAACCCTCTCCCTCAAGAATGGGACCAGAACTCACAATACCTGCAAGAGCCTACCACGCAATTGCAGAAGTCCTTTACTAGCCAAAGGAAAGAAAGAATGCAATAATTAACCCAACTCTGACAACCACTAACAAAACCTACACTCCTCCCAAAAGAAAAACTTAACCTACCCAACCTTACTCACAATCCCTCTTAAAAATCAACACCTACAATCCTCCCAAAACAAAAACTTAATATACCCGACCTTTCACAGAGCAACCTTTATTTCTAAAAAAAAAAAAAAAAAAAAAAAAAAACATATGACTCAATACAACTATTCATTAGCAACACAAAACATATCATTCCTAAGAAATCCTACCATACTATAAATTAACCCAAGAACCTCCAAAGCCCCCCTCTCCTCCTCTCGCCTCCCCTCTCCTCTCCTCTCCTCCTCCCGACAACCGAACCATACCTGACCTTATAACAATTATCCTAACCCTCCCTCTCTCCCCTTACTACATTTCCATGCAAACACAAACACACTCACACAACAACCCCCCTTAAGCAATTCTAATTCACCTTAAATTAACATACAACCTTAATCCCCAAACCTAAACTCCCCCCTCCCACAACCAATCTCGACACAACATCCCCCCGCCAGACCAAAGCCCCTCATAACACTACAATCTCGAAAACCAAATCAAGCATACCTTCTATAATCAGCCACTGTCAACTAAATCGACCTAACTCAAGACTGAAACCATACAACCTATATCTCACTCTCATCTCTGTTCACAATTTGACATAGCTCAAATCTGTCTCCTGCTATTACTAGATAACTCTCCTACGATACACTCATCCTTCCTTACTACGAATACTTTGACATTTCAAGCTCAAAGATTCAAAACTCTTCCTCCAACTCTCTCCATTTCTCTCTGACATAGCTAAAAGACCCACAACTCTCAGAACCTAATCAAACATACCCAACGTCTGTGACATCCAATTCTCAATAAAATCGACCTAACTCAAGACTGAAACCACTCAACCTATATCTCATTCTCGTCTCCGTTCATAATTTGACAAAAAAGCGCAAATCTGTCTGCTGCTATTACTAAAAACTCTCCTACGATACGCTCATCCTTCCTTACTATGAATACTTTGACATTTCAAGCTCAAAGATTCAAAACCCTTCCTCCAACTCGCTCTGTTCCTCTTTGACATAGCTCAAAGACTTTACCTTCATCTTTCTCCAAACAACCCTACGACTAGCTAAATTTCCATATTTTCACCTTCTCTGTTTACTTTGTTCGTGTGTGGCCTGTGCGTCCGTCCACCTGCGCTTCTCGGCTTGCGCCGCCGCCGTGGCGGGGCGGTTCTTCCTCCGCTTTGCCAACACTGCCTAAGCTAAGACGACAACCAGAGCACCCGCGTTGGCCCTTTGCTTGCCCGGACCTGCTCCCGCCCTCCCTCTGCCTCGTCCTGATTGTGATTGTTGCACCCTCAGGGCATTTTGCCTACCTCCTCACGCAAGCGGTGTTTAGCCACTGCACCTATTCTCTCCTTCAAAAATTCACTTCTATCCTCCCTTTATCCTTCCTCTGAACCTCCTTCCCCCCTGTCACAAGCATTTTTCTATTCTATATTCTGTACGCTGATTGGCTGGTCGGCGTGCGGCCGGAGCTCAGTTGGAAGATGTAGGGGAGAGGAGCCACTACAAAGGTCTTTCAGCGCGAACAGGGTTAGTAATTATACCATTCAAATTTTTTACCTTATATACCTAATGACCACCCACTAGAAGTGGCCAGTGGCCTGTGAAGGACGTTCGACCATTATTCTTGATAATTTTGTCAAAGGCTATTTTGCAGCTAAGTACAGTACTGTTCTTGATTGAACAGACCGTTTCATAGGTCTACCAACCTGCGTTTGAAAAGTAATTTCTTGCATTCGTCTGCATGATAACTTGGCTAGCTTATAAAGATAAAGCTCTGTTAGGCCGCATGAATAAAAACAAGTATAATTATACAGGAGGTATTATGTTATACATAAACTGCGGTGACGTTGAGAGAACAAGCGTCGCAGTAGACGGGCTGGCTGGCCTAGTAGCTTATGTAACCAACACCAACAGTCATAGTTACTCTTGGTCACCGATGATAACACCATATGCTATCTATTCCTCCCCCCCACCCCGCGTCACACACTTTTGCTTTTATATGGACTGATATGCAATATATATATATATATATATATATATATATATATATATATATATATATATATATATATATATATATATATATATATACATCTGTAGATTGCCTTGTGATCCAGGTATGTACTGATAACCACAAGGAAAAAAGAACTTACGTGTTTTTCTTTTTCCTTGTAGTTTATCAACATATATATATATATATATATATATATATATATATATATATATATCTTGATAAAATCACACGGGAAAAGGGAAACAACGGAGCACCTTAGCTTTCGTCTTTATTCAGTTGCCTCTGAAGATGTCTTGAATAAAGACGAAAGCTGAGGTGCTCAGTTGTTCCCTTTTCCCGTGTGATTTTATCAAGATTTATCTTATCCACGTTTTCATTGTGGATCTACATGATATATATATATATATATATATATATATATATATATATATATATATATATATATATATATATATATATATATATATATATATATATATATATATATATATATATATATATATATATATATATATATATATATATTTTTTTTTTTTTTTTTTTTTTATCCTCTTCGCCACTGATCGGCTCGTTACCCGCTTGGGCGATCGGTCACGTCTCTGATTACTTTTCCTTTT